AGTTAATGTTTGGCTAATTATTTGGATTTCAATTGGTTTGGCTAATATTTCAAAATTGGAAAAAGGTTTGGCTAAAAAATAGTATTTACCAAAGACTTTACTACTCCGCCACTGTTTGCTTCCTTTTTCTTATATTCTTTCAATTTCTTCATAACCAAACAGGTGAATGTAATGGGGAGTTTAGCTTTGAAGTTCATGTCGATCATGAACTAAAAAAGAAGAGTGGGAAGCATTTTCTGAATGAGAAGGACATTGTTTACTATGACCATGTTGATATTGATCAACTATTCATCCTCAACTTGCTAGACATCTACAAGGAGTGCGGTGGGAAGCTTACAAATCCTAAAAATCTATTAGAAAGCTCATTTGGATGAATCAATGTCGGAGATTACTAAAGATGAAGACTTGTTGTCAGCTAATCAAGCTCCTAGGATCATCGAACTTTATATCATGGGAAGAGAGAGTGAATAGAACGGTGGATGGCTAAATTGCAAGTTTGGTCACTTGAATTACTAGTAAAGTTCACGTTAGCCACTAGACTTACTTTATTCCATCTGTAGTCACTTAGATTAGGTTAATAGTTCAAGTTTGGTCACTGGCCGTTAGTCTCCGTTAACTTTTGCTGATGTGGCGGTCAACTCTTATAGTTGACCGTTAAATGAGTGACATGGGCACATGACAATTAAAATAATAATAAAATAATTTAATTTTTAATAATCTCCACTTTATTATTACAATAAATTAAAAAATAATTAAAACAAAAAAAAAATCACAAACAACGTCTTTGTTAGGACTTTTTCCAGAAATACCACTGTTCAAAAAAAGAATTCCAAATATACCACCCAACCCCAAAAAATTCCAAAAATACCACCTTTTTCAAAAACCGCCACCCCACCCTGCAGTTTACACGAAAACCGCTGGGCGGCCAGAACTTTGTGCTCTAAAATCTGAATATCATGAATTTGTTTTTGATTCCGCATAACTTTTCAAGATCTACAACTTTTAACATAATCATAATTTCAAAATGTACATGGATTTGTGAAAAGTAAAGGTAAAGTTATTCCCAAGGTCCCGTATATCCACAACTAATTCCTGTTTTGAAAATTTCATCCTAGTAAAAGTTGCAGATCTTGAAAAGTTATGCGAAATGAAAAAAAAATCGCTACGATCGGATACCCGAGTGCAAAATTACATTCGTTTGAAGTTTCGGCCGAAGTTAGGAGTTGATCGAAAAAAGAAAAAAAAAATTTGGACCAAACCGTTGGGTGGGGTGGCGGTTTTGGGCCAAACCGCCACCCCAGCCAGCGGTTTGGTCCAATTTTTTTTTATAACCGCCCCCTAGGCCCGCGGTTTGCATAGAAAACCGCGCCCCCAACAAGCGGTTTTCGTGTAAACCGCAGGGTGGGGTGGCGGTTTTTGAAAAAGGGTGGTATTTTTGGAATTTTTTGGGGTTGGGTGGTATTTTTGGATTTCTTTTTTTAAACCGTGGTACTTTTGGATTTTTTCCTCTAACAGTGAACCTCCGATGGAAGCCGAAGAGGAAAGGAATTCAATTCCCCCAAACCTCGCTTCTTCGAAAGGAGAGAACCATTCTGCTACCCCTGCAACGGCCACATCGACAACGGAGTGCAAGCCAGAGGATTGCACCGTCGAGCCTGAGTGTCGGACGGAGGCGGAACGGTTGTCGTCAGAGTCTCATGAACCGCCTCCCGGCGGGGCGGGAAGTGAGGCACGACCTCCTGGGATAACAAGTTGAATAGGGGGCTGAAGGGGTGGATCCGAAGATGAGTGAAGTAGCAGAAGAGGTTCAGAAGTTGAGTGAAGCAGTAGAAGAGTTTGTCGACGACACGCTTGCCTCTGTAGACGATGCCGTAGCTACCGGCGCCGATCTTGTTCTCCGCTGCGAACCCGTCGGTGGCGGCTGCGAGCTCGGAGAGAGTGAATTCCTCAGCTCTGGGCTCGGCGTGTTTGGATGAGGTCCCGCTCCTCTGCCGCCTCATTGCTTTCGAGCTCTGCCGCCGGATGGTTGATGGACTGGTGGTGATTCCGCTGCCACTGTTGTTTGAATTGTTCGATCCTCCACCGTTGCTGTTGTTTGTGACTTTTTTTGTTTTAATTATTTTTTAATTTATTGTAATAATGAAGTGAAAATTATTAAAAATTAAATTTTATTATTTTCTTAATTGTAATGTCACTCGTTTAGCAGTCAACTATAAGAGGGAGAGCTGATCCAGTGACTAGGGGGGGTGCTTAGTCACTTGACTAAGCCCCTCCCAGCCCTTAGATCTGTACACTTTAATCCAATGGTTAAAAAGTGGGAAAGGCTATTTAATTAATGACAGGGGTAGTTTGGGTATTATGGAAAATTACGAAGTATACAAACCGGATTTACAATCAGTACAAACCATACAAACATACGAACAGTACAAACTAGAGCGACAAAACATACAAACATATTTACAAACATTACAAACATATGAACTGTACAAACAATACAAACTAGACCGACAAACAATACAAACCATACAAAAAGAAAAAACAACCGGGTTGACTTTGGAGGCTGCATCCCTTTATAGAGGGGCTCCTTCCCAAAGTCAACCCGGGTGTTTTTTAGACATACAAACAGTACGAACATGGTGGACAAAAATGACAAACTAGACCGACAATCCATACGAACGGGAAAAAACACCCGGGTTGACTTTGGAGGCTCCATCCCTATATAGAGGGGCTCCTTCCCAAAGTCAACCTGGGTGTTTTTTAGACATACAAACATTACGAACATGGTGGACAAAAATGACAAACTAGACCGACAATCCATACGAACTGGAAAAAACACCCGGGTTGACTTTGGAGGCTCCATCCCTATATAGAGGAGGTCCATCCAAAAGTCAACCAGGTTGTTTTTTAGACATAAAAAACATTACAAACATGGTTGACAAAAATGATAAACATGGTGCACAAAAATAACAAAGTTTACAAACATTACAAAAAAACCAACAAATATTACAAAATAACAAAGCGTACAAACATTACAAAATAAACCGACAAACAGTACAAAGCATACTAACCGTACAAAATGTCACTAAAAATTACAAACAATACAAAATGAATCTATACAAACATTATAAAATAGGTCAGTAAACATCACAAATCCAACACTGTCGCCGGAAAATTTTCTCCGGTCACCGAAAAACTCTCTCCCTCTCCCTCCCTCCCTCTCTCTCTCCTGGGACAATTCCCTTCTCTCTGTTACGTAGGAATTGGGAAAATTCCCCCTGGACAATTTCCTTTCCCCGCAAAACCATTGGCCTCTCTCTCGGCCAGGATTAAAAATCCCACCGCCGACAAATTGCACCACCACCGGCGGGAATGCTCCCAGAAATGGACCGGCCGCGGGAGAGCCGTGGCAATTTTTTTATTTTGTTTAATTGATAAATAAATAAATAATGTAATTACTATCTTATCCTTCATTAAACTAGATAAATTTGAACCATTAGATTTTAATGAAGTTCAATGGTTGAGATTGGCTTAGTCATGTGACTAAGGGACCCCCCCTAATCACCTGATCTTGACCCCTATAAGAGGTGATCACCACATCAGCAAAAGTTAACGGAGAGTTGGGACTAATGGTTAATGACCAAACTTTAACTGTTAACCAAATCTAAGTGACTACGGATAAAATAAAGTAATTCTAGTGACTAAAGTGAACTTTACTAGTAATTCGAGTGACCAAACTTGCAATTTAGCCCTCTTTTTATCTTTCTCATCTCATACCAACGACTATGAGGGCGACATAGGTCATTTTCAATTTATGCACACAAATCTAATTAATCAAATCCATCATGAAGTCAATGAAACAAACGATATTTTACAAGTACAAGTACATAACGAACCCAAAACCTTCATATATCCATGATTTTACAAAATCCAAACTTTACCAAAATCTTCGTTTTTCATATCCATGAACAAACGACCCGTTAGTGACCAATGAAATAAAATTTATTTAGTGACCAATGTTTACCAAACTTACACTATCTCATTATTCCTTAATAACATTTGGGCCAGCTATATATATTAATCAATCAGACTCCTCATAAAAATACCTCAAAGAATACTTCCAACCAGATTACAATGTTACAAATACAACTCAATTGCATACCTGTAAAACAAATATGCAACTGAGACAAATAACCTTTATCTTCAAATACACGCAACTAAACATTTATTTTCAAATACATCAGTAGGATGATAACTTAGACAAGTGGCATGCCGTCGGAGATGTTACAGGCGAAGCAGTGTCCTCTGCTCAACGGAAAAAGCACTGTTGCTTTCTCATCATCATTATTTGGATTAAATCACAAGCATTCCAACGAAAAAAGTTCAACGCCGGCGTCGGGCGGGATGCATCAACAGCGCGTACCTGTTGAAAAGAACCATAACTTTAATTCACAGACAATTTTTCCAATGACATGATCATCCTGCTTATAGAAGGAACTAGCCATTCACTCCTTAGGCTTCTTAACACCACAATTCCACTTGGGGGGCGATGCTGATCTCTTGCCCTTCCTTCGCTGGGCAAATTGTGCAACTCCGTCGTCAATTGGTTGGCATTCTTCTGTTGGTCCAGCGATTACACCACAGCCAACAACAAATGAGAGAAGCGCAGTAAGACTAGAAAACCAGACAATTGGAAAGGGGAAAATGAGAGAGATTATACACATACAACAATGCATCCCTGTTCATCTTATCAGATTGCAAGGTTGCAAATACAACATTATTCTCAAACGAATAGATTAGCAAGGAAACGAGACATGCATGTATGTGCTAACTTAACATGTGATACATGATAAGGAAGTAGCCAGTTAGGGGGGACTAGAATTTATGATATACGATTGCAATATGTTTCTCTTGGGGAAAAGTTTTCTTTCTGTGTTGCTTGTTTCCAGTAGTGAATTCCGAAGCCTGACACATGTAACACATAACAGAAACAAAGTAAAGTTTCAAGAGCAGAAGCAATTACCAAAGATGGAGAGAGTTGTTGCTTCGTTGTTCTGAACCCAACAGCTGTAGCTTCCATCGTACATGTCTCGCAGTTCCTCATACCTAGGAATCTGAGTAGGCCAACAAGGGACCCTGGACTTGACCATCTTCCAACGAGGGATACCTCGTCTGAATCCTGCAAAGAACTCTATGTCTTCCCCTCCTGCCATCCTTGATAAATCAAAGGAGTAGATACCAGACCTCTCTTCACGGGGATCCCGATATTCTAAGAAGACAATTTCCGGCTTGTCTGGATGCAGATAACCTGGGAAAAATTTGTCAAATTCAAATTTACCCCTTATTGGTGCGTTGGCCAGCAATTCATATTGTTTCCTCCAAGACTTGCAACCTTCTTCCAATCTCCAAACCGTTAAGCAACCAGGAGTTCCATACTTAATTGCAAGCAAGTGCAAAGCACCTTGCGAGACAATAATGTTCCAAGCAGTCTTATGTGCTATCAGGATTGTTGAAGCATCCACATAATGAGTAAGAGGCATATCAAGGCGAAAAGGATCGAGGGAAACAAGGAAAACTCCAGCCCTACCAGCATGCTCTTTACCAGTCGCCAGAAACAAAGCCCCATTGTAGTAAGCCAATTTACCATCAAACAGTCCGTAAACTCCATCATGAACAACAACTTCCTTCCTCCATTCTCCAGACTCAGAACAAAACACGTCTAATCTAAGAGAGCCGCGATATCTATACAGTACAACCACCCTGAACTGATACTTAGAAGAATAAGCAAATACCTGGCCATCTCCTAGATCAAGGTCAGGAGAAATGAGGGGCTTAAGAACTAACTTGGCAACCGATGGATCGTACCCCGGTCTCTTTTTAGGCGCCAAAGGAAGCGCAACCCATTGCTTCGTAAACGGATTGCAGACAATATATGTTCTGCCCAATTCGTTATTACGAAACCCTGGATCCGTAAACCCGCACAAGACCAAGTCGTTGAAGGAATCACAAACAAAGAAACGCCGTCCAACTTCTTCATCAGGCATGGCGGGGAGAAAGCTCTGGATGACCGATTGTGAGTCTAGATTGCTAAATAACAGAGGTTGGTATCTGCTCTGGTGGTGTGAAACGAACCGGCGATTGAAGTAGTGACTGGAGATCAAAGAGATCCACCGCTTGCAGACGGATTTACAACGGCCGGCGTGTCTAGGATTCGGCAGCCGAATCAGAATTTCTACCAGGAGCTCGTCTTCGAGGTTGGTAATCGGGCTTACCTCCGGAGGTATCCGAATCATGAAATTGGAAGTGGCAAAGATAGAAACCGAGCTGCAGTTCTCGGCCGCCATGGCGGAGGTAGGGCTAGATGGAGTAATGGGCAAACATGTACACAGAGAGGAGAAACATGAAATCCCCAATCCGCCTCTTATTAGGGATGGAACTTAGGTAACCTAATTCGTGGGTTTAGACCCCACGCTCCCCGCTTTGGCGCGTCAAATCGCGAATTTCAGATAGAGCGCTAAGAATTCGCGAACTTGTTTTTTTGGGAGCGCGATTTTCTTGGGTGAGAGCGCGGATTTGATTGATTTGGGGAGAGAAGGTTTAATGGGAGAGAGAGAGAGACGCCATCGATGACGGATCTGGCCGTCTCCGTTACATTCACCGCCGCGAGAGAGAAAGAAATAGAGTAAGGTGCTGAGAGAAGAAAAAGAAGACCGATAATTGCGTTGGAGTAGAAAGAAGAGGCGAATGAGAGGGAAGCCTGGAAATTGGGAGATAACGTTTCCCCGTTGGGATCTCCTCCGCGACCTTTCTTTGTACTTGTCTATCCCCAATTGAATAACAATCAAGATAGCAGTGCATGCAAAAGGAGAAAGTAGGAAGAAGGTTGAAGTGAAACTTTGAAGCTGATTTCTGTAGATTGGGCAGCGACGGAAGCAAGATCAGTTGTCTCTGCAAGCAAATTAATTCAAGGTTTTGGATAATTGAATTTTGCAGAAGAGCAAAGAGAGGAAGATGGAAGGAGAGAAGACGATTGGAGAGGAACAACGGATAATGGAAATTGTGTGGCTTTCCTAGTTCCTTCGTCCAAACCCTCCTCCTAGCTTGTTTATTGGGTTGATAAAAGAAAGTAATATTATTATTAATTTCTGGAAGCCCAATAGAACTTAAGCCCAACTATACATTATACAATTCTCATCCTCCATGAAATAAACCGCAGCAGCAAAAGTTTTGTGTTATTTCTAGAAATACTTTAATAATTCCATTTACCTTAGTCTTGAACTCTTTTTATTTTTATAGTCCTTAGTCTTGAATAAAAGGGAGAAAATTAATAATGTATGTTAGCATAATTCTATCAATTGCTTGTAATGATTAGATTTTAGATTTTATATAATATTTAATTTAAAATAATATTATAATTGGCGCTCTCGTCACGCTCTGAAAATTGAATTCACAAAGATTCAACGCTTTGACGCTCTCGCTCCCGCTCCCGCTCCCGCTCTCGCTCTGCGAACTGGTTACCTAAGATGGAACTAGTTCGGTCGGCCACCAGGCAGAGTCCGATTTTACACGTACTCATAACTCATAAGTCATATCCACACACCACGAAAATTGAATAAAAAATTAAAATTTATGGTAATATTAAGTGATGCTAGTCGGTTCTAGTATAGTCCAGTTTAGGGGTGTTAGTCGGTGCGGTTTCGGTTTAACCGCACCGAAATATCGGTTAACCGAAGTCTCTATCGGTTTCGGTTTCAATTAGTGATTTTAGGACAATTTTGGTTGCGGTTAACCGATATTTCGGTGCGGTTAAACCGAAACCGCACCGACTAACACCCCTAAACTGGACTATACTAGAACCGACTAGCATCACTTAATATTACCATAAATTTTAACCGAAAACCGCAAACATCGGTTTCGGTTTTCCCTTGCGGTTAACCGAAACCGCAGTTTCTGGTTCACTTTCTCAGTTTTCGTTCAGAAACCGACCACCCAAAACCGAATTTCAACCACCTTTTTTAATGATTCACCCTCAATTTTGAGTGACCTGCTTTTGTTTCAGCCTCTATAATCACATACCATAAAGTCATCTAAATCAATTGAACATAAAGTCTAAAGCAACCACACAATTCAACCACAACTCCACAACATAAAGTCTACATGCCCACAATTCAACCACAAGTCACAATCACAACTAGACACAAATAACAAGTTCATTATCTCCAAATCATCAACCTAAATGATCCGAGGATCTCGCTCCAATTCATCTAGCCCATAGTCATCATTTACTCCAAGATCTTCATCTAGTCCATAGTCATCAACCTAAGGTTCACTCTATCGAGTGCAAAGGGGAATTAGAGAGGGGTGACTTACTGACTTTCGAGTTCTAACTCTTAAAAATATTCGAGACTCTTGATGAAGGGTTGTTTGCAATAGGTGAGAATTGAGTTGTTTGGAATTGCGACTTTGATTGGTTTTGAATCTTCCAACTTTTTCCCTTAGCCAAAGTAAAAAACCATGTGCTCGTTTGCTTGTTGGATTTGAAAATGAAGGTTTGGAGTTTTAAAAACCTTTGGATTTATGATGGATTTGTTGCATCATGGATTTGGAAGAGTACATTGTTTGTTTAGTTGATTTTTTATCATGGATTTGTGATGGATTTGTCTCACATTTTTTCCTTCTATTGTCAAATCCCAAATAAAATGTGGGATTTACAAATCCGTGGGGTCCACGGATTTGGATCTAAAAAATGGGTCCAAATCCGTGGACCCCACAGATTTGTGTCCCTCAACAAACAAAGGATTTGTGTCAACTCCATGATGCTTGGGATTTGGGTTCCAAATCCATCACCCAAATCCCACAAGCAAACGACCCCGTAGTCACACTAGTAGGCGGTTATCGGTTTTCTTATCGGTTAACCGCTAACCGATTAGTCGGTTAGCGGTTAACCACTAACCGAAACCGAAACCAATAAGGAAGTAGCGGTTATCGGTTAACCACTAACCGACTTTATCGATTATCGATTAAAACCGATAACCGACTAACCGTTTATCACCCCTAGTCCAGTTAGTCAATTATCTATTAATTTCTAAACTAGCTTATAGTCCGACTCGTTGGCCGAAATTAGTTATGAGTGAATAGTTCAGTCGACCTCTAGTACGTCATCGCTGGTAGTTTCCATCGGGAGCTCTAGCACCAACTGACTCCTTACTAATCAGTAGTCTTGTTTAGTTAGATTGAATACAAAGTTCTCGAACTCGCACACGACGCTACTGTAGTTGATGATTAAATTGGTTGATTAATAAGAAATTTGGCGTCAGCAGAAATTGAGCCAAATTTGTAAATTATTCAGACATGTATCTATCTAATTGGAAAGCGAAGAATAAGAAGAAATGGAATGGGAAATGGATCGGCGGTTTATATAAGTGGTTTGTGTGACCGCTGATATATATATATATATATATCGTTTATGTTAGAGAACATAAACAATTCTATTAACGATTAACAAATGGTTCGATAACGATTAACCGTTGAACTAAAACCACTAATTTTTCGCATTCAACATTCATTTTGAATATAAAAACAGAGCATATATGTATTTCACATTTTAGACCAAAACAAAAGTAGTGGTCTGAAATTTTATGACGTTTGTTATCTCTTATTTAGTCATTTATACGTAATCGATTTACTAGTCTTACGAATAACAGGGTTGTATATTTAGTGACATGTTGAGCTCGTTTAGGTAATCGATTGGTATAATGGAACTCTCAGCCTATTCACAGAGAACAAACTATGAACATCTACTAACTTGTTGATCACGCCACAACTTTCCTTCTTATTACAGTAAGATTATATTTCATGTGTCTCTCTGCTATAGACTATACATCACATAATTGTATATAATTACCGCCTCAAACGTATCATCCCTTGGCAAGCCAAGGTCCCTTCGAGATCCCCAATGATTCGCGCGATTCGAACCTCGAGACCTCTCTGGACTTCCTGCAACAACGCCTTCACGTTGTCCGCGAATCTCCTTATGTTGATGGTTCCTCCTGATTTGTTCAGCTCTTCGGGTACCTCCACGAACCCTGAACCAATCTTCGACTGCACATCCATCAGTTTCTGCCCTGTTGACACCATGTACCTCTGCACCTGAAACGTCTCCTCCAAGTAATGCTCCATTCTCTTCATCTCTCCCTTGCTTCTCTCTTCCCTCTTCGAAGAAGAAGAAGAAGAAGAAGAAGAAGTCTCCACATCACTGTCATGCTGCAAACAAACATCATTTCTGACATTAGTAATATGAATGACGAATCTTGATATCTTACCGAACACGTTGCTTCGTTACTTCTTCTGCAACTAAAACAAGTCACTGTCTTTGAAAGAGTACTAACCATGCGCTGGCAGAGTTCGTCAGTTTTTGCTTGGAGGGTCTGGTACCTACTGATTTGCCTGTTGAGCAGTGATATCAGCATCAAGAAGTCCTTTACCCCATTGTCTTGATCGCCTGAATCTTCTTCACTACTCTCTTGCTTTCCTGTCAATCTCTCCAGCATCAGGAGCTGCTGCTTCAGCCTCTTGATCTTGTAAGAGACTCCAAGGGCATGGAGGTCCATCCTCCATGGATTATTACTGCTGCCATTTGTGCTGATCACCAATGCATTGCTGGTTGTTGCTAAGCTTTTCACACTCTCAATCTCTTCCATGGAGCTTGGGCTTCCTTCGTTATTCGTAGGACCCTGTTCGGTTACATGCTTCTCTTCTTCAAACTCCTTCTCAGGAGACTCCACAACCACCATTTCCCCATTCTTGGGTTGGTTGGAAATGGTTACTAGAGACTGTTGTTCGGATTGAGACCTTGTTGCTTGCTGTTGAAGACAACTCACTTCCTCCTTACTCTGCAGTAGTGAAGCTTCCAGTTTCATATTCTCATGCCTTAGCCGGGATAACTCTTGGTTCAGTGATTCGAGGTGAGATTGCAGTCTATTGGATTCAATCTGCGTGCTCAGAAACTTCCTTCGAAAAGCTTCGAGCTTTTCATCTTTCAGCCTCAACTGCTCCACGAAAGCATCAATCTCCACATGATGCCTCTTCTCAATTGCTTCTGCGTATCTTGCTGCTTCCATTCTAATCCATCCTTCCAATCTCCTTACATCGGCTGCCATCATTACACAGTTTTATTTTTAAACATGAAGGACATCAAAGAAAGTTTCATTACCATTTCATCAGTTCACTTTATCATGTTTGATACTTCCCTATACGATTATAAGTGCACACAGACTTTAGATTCACAATCCCATCACAAAAGGCCCATTAACCAAACTATGTCTTATATCCGTCTTAGGTCTCAAAACCCACCAACTTAAAATAACATCTGCCAACCTATGATAATCAACAACTTAAGGTGGTGCTTAGGACTTACCTAGCTCAGCAGCCCTTCCAACAGGCGAGTAGTCATCAGGGAAAGGGGAAGAAGCCATATCCGGGTCGTTCAAGAACTCAGGATTCTCATACTCAATCACATAATTATCGCTAGAATGTGATGATCTACCTTTCGTAAGACCATCATCATCTTGCCTCGCGTTTGCAAACATGCTTCTCAATGAATGCTGCTTCTTCTCATGCCTAGTCTCTGATGCAGCTGCAGCAGCCCTCCATCTTTCTGTCTCCAATTCAGCCTGCTTCCTTCTAGCCTTGGAAACCCTTACTTCCTTGACCAGCATTTGCTTGTCACTCACATCAGCCTTCATTCTCCTCAAAATTGCAGATAAGATCTTCTCTTTCTGCTCCAAATCCATTCTCAGCTTCACAACTTCTGCAGCTGATTCCTCCTTCTGCTCCATAGCCGAATTCAACTCCTGCCTTTTAACCTCAAGCTGCCTCACCAATCTACCCATCTCAGCCTCAACCTGTCTCTGGTTAGAAACAAGCTCGAGAAATGCAGTCTTGTGCTTCCACAGATCCGCAGAATGCTCCTGAGCTTCCCTTCTCATGGATTCCCTCAACTCTTCCGCCAAATGCTCAACTCTAGTCAGCTTCTCTTCCAATTCTTTCCTCTTGTTCTCTTCTTCCTCAAATGCCTTATCCTTCGCCTGCAACAAACCCTCCATTTCCCCAATTTTGTCGTGCAATTCAGAGATGGCTTGTTCTTTCTCGTTCTGGAAAAGATTCAATTGGTTCATTAGGGCTCCAATGTGCAGCCTGAGCTTCTTCCTCTCTATAAACCAGGTTTGCTCCTGAGAAGCAAAAATCCCGACGACTTTCTCGTTGGCCTTCCCGTCCTCCTTCCTCATTTGCTTCAACTCTTCGATCTCCATCTCGGCAGCCTTCAGCTTGCCGAGAAGAAGATGTTGGTGGCGTTCATCACTTTCTGCCGCCTCCCTCTCTCCATCATCGGAGTTCACTACATCTCCCATTGCAGGCAGACGAGGAGAAAGAAACTGGAAATAACTGGAATTGAGTAGGTCAATGCGAACCCATTACGCAAAATCCACAATTTATCACAAATCCAGCGGAAAGATTGCAACTTACAGAGGAAATTAGTGGAGACTCGGCTCAAATTGGGAAACTGAAGCAGAAACCAATCACCCTCGGAGAAGAAGAAGCTCTGAACGTGAAGGAAGAGAATGGGGAAAGCATGCTTCTTTGGCTGGCTTCGGAGAGAAGGAAAAATGTAAAAGAGACAACCAAGCTGCCAAACTGGTGCGTGGGAGAGGGAAGGAAGCTGCTGGTGAGCTGAAGTCACAGTAACCGAAACTGGAAACAGAGGCTGACAGGGAAAACGATGAGGGACAAGAAGAAAAGCTGGGGAAGAAAAGGTATCTTTTCCTTCCTTTTCCCTCTTTTCGGGTGGCCTGGTTTTCAGTGAAAGACAGAGTCTGACCCGCCCGCTATATACACTAGTATCAATACCCGCGGCTACGCCGCAGGAAGTATTTAGCAATTGCATTTCGAGCTACGCCTAGTATCTTTGAGAAGCAGTGTATTTAAAAAGTTAGAAATTGTATAAGAACGCACGTAAGATATGTCTCATTCAACAACTTGAACATTTCAATAGATAAAGACTTACGTTTTCCTTAAAACCATGCAAATCTAAGCTGTTAGCCTACTCATCATTATTATATATTTAAATTGCATACTGAATTATTGTTGCGGATGTGAAGAAAAGCCCATATGGGAAAATATACTGGCCACTGCCTGCAAGCTATACCCTTGTTTGAAACCCACCATAGCCATCAATCATCATCATGACATCATCTGCCTGCTACCTACTGGCCATATCGACCGACTTACAATCAAATGAAATTGGGGATCGAAAATTGGTTCTCTTTCGGCCATGTCCTAACTACACAATGACTACATCAAATAACCAAAACCATGGATCAAACTAATGCAACTTCAGTTAAGAAACGCAACATCACCTTAAAGCAAAGATTAGAGCCCACCATTATCTATCATGTGCTTCAAAACTCGATCATTTTCCATTATATTTCTTTGTTTTGAAAGGATTTCTGTTTGGATAGTCACCCACCTATTGACATTGCTTCATAATATAAATAGTATCAGGATTTTAACCAGCACCATCAAGCGCCCAAATGAGACAGACTAAACAAAACCAAGGTAACGTGATTATTAGGTTGTGTCATACCTTTACTTTTGCCCACGCAACTTTCACCTATTAGCAGCATTGAAGTTCCCAAGTCAGCAACAGCATCATCATCGAGCAACATTAGTTGAGCCATCCATTAGGTGCTGATTGATCCCAAAAATGCAGCTTCCACCTGTTTCTATTTATATTAGCCATTCAGCAGTCCCATAGTTCCCGCTCCCAGTGTACTAAGCTTCTTAAGTGGCAGTCTTGCCTCCTGCAACTTGTAATTTTCACACATCCAAGTAAGCCCACACCCACATTATCTTGTTAAAGCAAGTGAAAAATTCATCAAAAAGGAAAAGAAAGGGGCCAAATTCTCTACCCATCAATATACAACATTTATTTATGGTGCTTCCAGTAAGAAGCTTTTCTTCTCTTTAGAAATCTCTAAAAGCTGGATGATTGAATAAACTTACAGGTGAAACAATAGCTCGGATGTCATAAGTCTTAAGGACTCTAAATAGTGAAAATGAGCAGGCTAACGTATCAGAAGCAGATATACTGATCTCGATAGCATCAATATCTACTCGAACCCCTAAAATAGATTAACATTAGCAAGATAAAGAGACTTCCCAAGCCAAGTGAGACCACAGTGGGGAGTTCAACACCACCTGGTAGTGCAATCTAAGGGAGAAAACATTAAACATAAAACTCTTCAGAGGCCTACCTCAGAGGAAATAAGGAAGAGTTTCTTAACATCAGTAATCATGCAAGCAAATGAACCATCCATCCTATCACTAAGAATGTAAACAAAGACACACTTTCTCTAAAAGGCAGACCCCTAAGCTGATCTCTATCATTTGTTTGGATTATTGTGGACTGTCATTGAGGCACTCAATAAAGTAAAAAGAACCCAAGAGTTGTGATTATATGAGATATATACTTATACGTTCTTGGCCTCACTGCATCAGCCCACCCAACTGACATTAAGAAGATATAAGCATAATTCCAAATAAATGGCTTGTCAAAATTAGAGCAGCAACAGAATATACAGTAAGCACAAACATGTCGTAACAAATATTCCACAATAGCATCGACGCCTTCTAATAGTGTTTAGGCTTACACATTAATAGGGTCACTCTAGTGAGCAAAGACAGATCCCTAACATGTAAATTATACTGCACAAACCACCCCAAAACATAAACTATACAGAACAACGAACCTGGGCAAGCATCATCTGAGGTCATCACTTGATTACCTTTTTTTGCCAAGACATTTGTAATGTCCTCCATAAATCACCCCAAAATGCACCTGCAACAAACAATCATTTCAAACCAATAATCTAAAATGATTTAACAGGATGGTACAAACTACAAACAGATTGAATTGAAGCAATCAAATAATTGAGGAGAGAAACCAAACTGGATTCCCATTACGCAGAACCGCTTTCAATTAGTCTCCTCATGTAGCTAATCGTAGAAAGGTGTGAAATGGCCTCCTTGTACTGAAACTCCATGTGCTTCAACAGAATCTCGTCCATTTTTTGAACTGAGTGTAGTATCCCCTCACTCAGATCGCCATGGGAGCAGCTCTAAGCTCCTCTCTGCATTTACATGAAAATGTAGGAATGGAACCGACAGTTAATTTTGGACCATTTTTTACATGAAATCTATCATAATGTTGGGAAAGGAGTACATACAACACCAAAGGCCAGTGCTCTATAATCAGAACTGTTTGGTTGTATGTCTCTAATGCTTATTTGGGTTGCCCCTGAGCAACCGGAAGGACAGCCTTCAACCCAAGAAGCTCCCACCGACCATTCTTTGCTTCCCAATTTGGTTATCAAATTCCAGATTTGCTTGTTTATCGACTTCCAAAGCCTAGCTGCAAAGAACAAAATAAATGACATAAATCAGTTTCTTTTTAACAACAAACATGAGCAAGACAAACCAAAAACACAGACAAAGAGTGGAAATAGTAAGTAGTATCATGTTGGGAAGAGCACCAAAGCTTGTTGTATTTGTCAAATAAGGCATCTTTTGTAGACGGTAATCTTTCTGATTCACACAAAAGAGCTAGCATACACACCAGAGCAACATCAACAACAATGGCCTACCAGGCGCAGCTGCCAAGCGAGAAAAAATAGGAAATCCAAATAGACCAAATCGAAAACAGAAGACCAAAAAGTCGAGAAAGAGAAGATTAGAAATAAGACTTACCAGGCGCAGCCATCGTCGTCTCCACCCTAGTTTTCCTCTTCGTTCTGAAACTCGCCTTCACCGTGTTCATCGGCCACCAATACCCCGTGAACTGCTCCCTCTTGTTTCAATTCCATTTGACCCTTCTGTCTGTCGATTTGGGGGAGATTGTGGCAGGTCCAATCCAAGAGGGAACAATTCGACAGAGGGAGGGAATGGGGATTGGGTGTTGGGAAAGAAGTATGTCAGGGAGATGTGGCATGGTGAAGATGGGGATAGGGTGTTGGTGAAGAAGCATGTCAGGGTGAGGAGGTATGGTGAAGTGTGCTATGAGTGGCAGACCGACGTTTCCGGGAAAGAGGCATGGTGAAAGGATGGAAGGACAAAGAGCGTTCCATTGTTGCAGATTTGGCGCTAAGGTCGACTGGGTGCATGCGTACGGAGAGTATGGCTGCTGATTGAATCGAGGCCAGGCGGAGCTGAATGGTGATTTGATGCAGGCGCAGCGGCAGCAACACTGGAAACAGAAGCTGACCCCGTGAGGAGCCGCTGTCTTGAGAATAGCTAAAACACCATTTTCGCTAGGCGACAGAAAGTGAAACAGTAGTAAGAAGTTGAGGGTAATAAAGCGTACCCAGTTTTTATCTTTTAAAGAATTTCCAGTTTTCCACTCCTAAAGTTTCTCCCTTTTTGGTTTTATAAACAGGGTATCAATCTTGACTTAAAAGGGTTTACAAATTACAACAACGCCATAGTGAGTTGATATGCTAAAAATTGGATATGAAGTAATGGTAACATGTAATCCAAAGAAAGCATTGCAAGTTACTACATGAAGCATTGCCATGATTAGTGGAAAGTCTGAGCTATACGAGTATTTCGGTTAAACGAAAGTATTTAATGAACTACTGTGACATGGATGTAGTTTGGATATAAGTGGTCAGCTTGTAAAACGAACATCTCAGTCGAACTAAGGGATATGATAAATGATTATATAACATGAATGTGAGTGATCTACCTCTTGAATTAACGAAACCAATGCAAGAATATCATTGTCTGTAAAACTACATTCTTAATCTCTAACGCTCAGACCAACTTAAATAACGTTTTACCTCTCATATCAAAATTAAAGACCTGCCTTCTTAATGATTTGATTGGATAGATACCTTGCATTCTGTAATTGGAAACAAGAGCACCAAGATTCCTGGTGCCTTTGCTTGTGTGGGGTTTGTGTTTGTCACCAAAAGCAGAGAGTGGCTTCCCCTGTCCAATCAATTCAACTACCTCAACATAATTATGCTTTCAAGTGTTGGAAAATATCTTATATATTCAAAATCCTTTCTTTCTGGTTCTTGTTTCATGATTGACACCAAAAGTGGGGAAAGGGGGGAAATTGGATGAGCTTTTTGGCACAAACAAGGGTGGATTCACTGGATTGTCATGTTATTGGGCCTGTATGGAATCAATAAAAAAGATTCAGCATTGTTATGTAATTATGGTTCATCTAGAATTTTGGCCAGTGCACACATTTGTAAAGTTTGAGGACTAATTACTACTGTGAGCATAGTGTGGGTATCAAAGTGATAAAAGCAACACACGGGAACAACTAATAACAGAATATTAGTTCGCTCGTTTTCTGGATTCCTCTCTCAGTCTCTCCTTTCCTCTAAGTCTTTTCTTCCTCTAGTTCTCACCGGGAAGATCTCCGGCGGCGAAGGTCACGAACGTGGCATCCCCGTTTCCCACCAGCGGCGGCTTCTCCCTTTCGCCTCGTTCGGCCTTAGCTAGGTTGCCTCAGTCGATAAAGAAACCTTACAATTTCCGCATCGCTTACTAGTTTCTCCATGGGGGAATTGAAAATGGAGGATGTTACGCTCCCGGCACTCTTCGAGCAAGCTCGGAAGATCCATTCGACCGCCACGGAGTCCTGTGCTGATCAGGTAATCGATCGCCTGCTGAATTTTTTGATTGTTCGATTGAGCGGTTCCTTTTTCTTTTGGCTTTGAAGTGATTTCGTTCCGTTTGCGAGACCTAATTTCGGATTTTCTGTCTGAGAACGTGTTATAGGAGACGCTGAGAAGAGGGTGCGAGGCACTTGAGAAGTGCGAGGAAATGGTGGGCAAGCTGGGTTTGTTCTCCGCTAATGAGACCAAGGAAGATATCAGCACCACCAATCTGAAATATATTCTGGTAATTGATCCTTTTCCCTTTCTTTCATTTATCACGTTGGCATCGCCTTACAGACAGTTCCTGCATATATGGAAGCTGTAACAGTTATGGAACTCGAGTATTGTTGGGTAATGGATGACACTTGTAGGACTTTGGTTGTAGCTAGAGAATGTTGCAGTAACGTGTAGCATTAGTCGCTAGAAAAGAAGTGTTGGTATAAGCCAGTTTATGCTGCGATTTTCTCGGTGTCCTGTGGTAGAAGAGACGCGGGCTTTGGTTGTTTGTCCTGTGGAATCAGCTACTTTTCCTTTTCTCTTAGAAGTATATACTATGTCTGTAATAAAGATAAGTTGGCAAGCTGTAGATGTAAGAATCGCCGAATGTGTGCAATTGTTAGATTTTCTGGCTGTCTGGTAAGGAATAGACTATGTGGTTGGCATTAATGGGTTGTGTGCAAAACGTAACAGCACTGCCGGTCTTTATGCTGCTCCTTCAAATTCGTAAATGCTTCCTTGTTCGTATCCATAATTCACATGGTTGTGGTTGCGCAGGTTTCATTTTACCTTGCTGAGCTGACTGAGAAAATTACTCAGGATGATAGGATTCCGATACTGAGAGCATCCCAAGCAAAATTAAAGGTAACTTCTGTTCATTAGCAGTAGTCTCTTATGTCTGAATTGAACATTGGGCTTTTATGCGCGTAGGAATAAGCATTGTTGTTGAAAAGATTCATTTTTAATTGTTGATGGAAAAAAGATACTGGTTTTCGTTTTTTATCAGAAAAATGGACTTAAAATTGCTTGGGGAACAATATATATACCCGGCCAATTGAGTTGGAGCTGATTGGCACCAACTTATAGAGTTGTAGTCCTAAAAGATAGAACCCTGCAGGAATTCATTGCATTCTGTGAGGCGATGGAACTTGCACCTGAGGAGGAGCTGCAGGCATCATTACAAGGAGGTCCAAATTCAGTTGTGGATCGTAGGGCTCAAAAGGTGCTTTGATTTCCTGTTAAATTTTCTCGACTTTTCAACAAACAGATTAATTTTTGACAATTGATGTATGGGTTTGTTCAGATTGCTAGGTTCAAGCGCCAAAAAGCTGCAGAGGCGAAGTTGCTGGAAATAATGGAGCGGAAAGAGAGGCGTGGTCGTTCGACTAAGGCTTCTGCACTGTCTACTCCTGTTGAAGCTGGAGAAGAAGATTTGCTGGATGATGATGGGGAAGAAGAAAGGGAGGTATGTAGACAGGGCTATGATTGTTATATCTCCCTTGAAGATATTAAAGATTTTGAAGCTACTTGTCTGATTCTCTATCGCTGGTATGATGCAATCTGCATTATGGACTTGACATCTCTCTGCTGGTGCCTAGATTGTGTGGACCAATTCTCTGTGTTTTGCGCTTCTATCTCTCTGTATTACAATTTACAGTTAGGAAACTGCCATATCCTCCTAAGACTGCAATAATACTTGATGTGATGCCTTTCATTATCTTTACTCTAGACATTAGATTATATCCTATGACTTAAGGAGTTTTTGTTTTCTTTGAAGAGATTTCAAAGATGCTAACGTCATTCTACATTGCTGCGGGGAGCTTTGGTTGCTTAGTAATACTCATGTTTTGATCTCTTTGTGCAGGCTTGGCTTACAACCATATCGTTGGCTATCTGTAAGGTTGGTGTTTCATCTCATTTGATCTGCTTGAAACGTCAAAGTAGTATTGATAAGCATCAATTCACCATCTGACCATTTCATATAACCACAGGCTCTTGATCTATTGGAAATGTTGAAGAAAGAAGACGAAATGCTTTCTGCTGTTAGAGAAAGACAATTGAAGGTAACAAATACTTAGAATCACAGTTTGAATGGTGTTTTCCTTACTTGCCAAGTGCTGATTTTATTTGATATTGCAGGAAGGAGATAATGAGTTTTCTCAGGCAGTGCTTGATGAACGAGCGAAGAAAGCAGAGTCATGGCATCGCGGTGCTGCCACTCGAGCGCAGTTTACAAAACCTTCCCCTCCAATCACATGTGCTACCTTTGCTCAAGATGTACTAGAAGGACGAGCAACTGTTTCCCAGGCACACGATCACAAGCACCAGCCCATGATATTTGGGCCAGCAAGTCTCATTAATTCGCGCCCAACAAACGAGAGAGAAAGGATCGCTGCGCAGGTCTTCCAACCTGGTCACAGGTACATCTATCTCGACATATTTATCCGGTCCTTACTGGGGTCTTTAGCGTACTGATCTTCTTTACTGACATTTGGAAACTTTAACTTATGTGTAATAAGGTTGCCGACAATGAGCATAGAAGAAGCTGGGCTGGCAGAGATGGATATTATGAACAAATGGCAAGAGAGAAATGTTAAGATGATGGAAGAAGCCAACTCCGCCTGGTACAAGGACAACAACAGTGGTAAGCCGAGATCAGGTGAAGAGGAAGAAGATGATGAAGACGATGATGATGCAGTTGCACGGGCTAGAGCGTTTGACGATTGGAAAGATGAGAACCCTCGTGGTGCAGGCAACAAGAAGCTTACCCCTTGCGGCTGATTACTCCCTCTCTGAGTGTTCTTTTCGTTTAGCTGAAGAACAACGGAGCCATAAGCCTGGCTTATATGTATTGTATTTTGTGAAATTTTGATGTGACCATGTATTTATGTTTTAGAAGTGAAGATTACAAAAGTTATAATCTTAAGTACTCTTTATTTATGTGTAATCCTTTAAAACAGTTTAATCGATCATAAAAACTTTCTCAGTATCACAACTTCAGGTGTCGGATTCGAGTCTCCATAAATTTCTCTGCATCTCTGGTCATCAATGCACAGTTTCAAAGACCAGTATGCATGTATGCAATAAACCCTATCTTGCTAGTTCTAAAAGTTTGTCAATGAAAGGATTGAAATACACAAATCGCATTTGCATTCAACTGATAAAGAGAAATTCACAGGGCATGGAAAAACAGCCCTCTGATATTCATCTCCTCCCCAACCCCTATACACTAACATTTCACAGAGGAGGATCAATAGTTCAGAAGGATGAATGAAGGAATCCATTCAAAGGAAGAAAAACTATGCATTTGCAGTAATCCCCCAAAGGAGGGGGGAAAAACCCACCATGAAACTGAAAGAAAAACAGCTTCTTTTGTTCTTCCTTCTGTGAGATCAAACAGTTCCTGTTTTCATGTATGCATCTCTTCTTCCAATGTACAAAGCTCATGTGTAGAGAAAAAAACAGAAGGATAAAAACATTGAATCAGGATTCTTCTTCTTCTTCTTTTTGATTCAGTCTTGATCATCTATCCATCAATACAGGTGAAGCCTCTGCAAACCCACAACCAAACGAAGAACAGAACAGCACAAATCACCAAATCCAACGTCAAAACCACCCACACATGCTTCCTCCACATCTGCTTCGCCTTCTGCCTGCTCTCCAGCATGTAAAGCCCGCCGCTTTTCGGCGTCATCGCCACTGAGAACTCCCTAGTATGGTGCCCACTACCATCAACGCTCCCATTCTCACCCACCAACACGCCACCACCACCATTCATCATCATCTTGCCGCCATGATCGCTCATCCCACCGCAGCTCAAGCCGCTCCCGTCTTTCCCCCTGTGATGCCCACCGCCGCCGCTGCTGCTCTTATCCTCCATCCCCCCAATAGAACAAACCCCCGACGACCTCTTCTTCTTCTTCATCAGCAATGGCCGCGTCACCGTCTTCTCTTTCGTCGAGTCCATGCTCGGGTTCCGGCTGTCTTTAGACGTGGTCTCCGTCAGGGAATCCCCGAGGTCCAAATCCAGAGCCAGGATTTCACGGAACAGAGGGTAGAACTCGGCCTGGAAGCAGAGGGAGGCGAGATTGTCCAAATCCCTGAGGGAATTCGACGCGATGAGCTCCAAGAACGAGACTTTCACCCGGTCGATGAACCAGGAGGACTCCAGCTTCGCGAGATCGTGGTGGAAGACGGTGAAGTAGACGAAAGGGTCGTCGATGAGGAAGGTGTAGGTCTTCTTCTTGGCGGTGTGGGAGAAGGTCGTGTGGTGCGGCGGCGCGATCCCGATGCATTTCTGTGCGATCTCCTCGATCCCCGGCTCCGACGGGGAGGCGAACTCGGCGAGGATTGTGGATCCTTTGGCAATGCAAGCGTAGAGGATCAGATCTGGATTCGAAATCATTTGTTCCCCTTCTTTTTTTTTTCTTTTTCCAATTCCCTTTCCCCTGTTTTTTGTTGATGGAACGAAACAAATCAAGATACTACCCGCCAAAATTGGCGGCGGCGGCGGCGGTGAGAGCAGAGGAAGGGATTGAAACGGACGGGAAGAGATCAGGCATTTGAAGCAGAGGGAAAGAAGGGGAGGGATGTATTAGGGAACCAGAAATTGATCGAAGAAGTTGTTTGGTTCCCGGGAAAAAGAGATTCTTTTCTCAATCATGAACTTCTGTTTGACCTGTACAGAGAGGCATCTTGATTCGTTTTTTCTCCTGTTTTTTTCTGTTTCTTCTTCTTTTTCCTTTCCCCTCTTTCCTTCTCTCTCTCTCTAGGGATTGAAATGGAGGGAGACGAAAGGAAGAGAAGGGAAAGGGGAAAGGAAATGGGGTTTGGATTGGACTTTGGGATTTGCTCAAACCAATTGTTTAAACGGCTGCCCATTTTGTTGCTTCCAACAAACCATACTTTGTAAAACAATTTTCATTAGGAAATTGGACATGAAACAAATCGATGGTAGATTGTAAGCTCTCGAATGAATACAAATATAAATAGAGTTTTTCCTCTGAACACAAATACTAATCGATTATGTATAATGAATGCACAAATGAACCCGTTGAAAGTTACCTACTTTATTCTGAGTGAGAGACTGAAGCACCGATCCTTTCTAGTTCTGACTTCTTACATACATGTACATGTCCTCTAATCTTTCATGTAAGAGGTTGTTGTGACGTTCATCTCTTATAATCTTTCATGTAAGAGGTTGTTGTGACGTTCATCTGTCATTTCGTAGTGATGATAATCATTTGCGTTGATGACTAATCAAATTTGGATCGATTTAAACCCCGATTGATGTTCCGTTGAGGATAACCACATAGCGGTTCGTGTTGGTTTTCTTATTGATTGTTACCTATGGGATTTACCTCTTCTTATTATGATTGGTTGATCAAAAGGAAGGATAAATACACATAAAGAAACTGGCATGTGGAAGTGGTGGAGATGATGGAGATGATGGAGAGCATATTATACTCTACTCTCTTATTTTATGGCAAAGCCAACCTAACAATACTTTTATTATGTCATCTTTGTATCTAGTAATATCAAATGTGTACAGCTTGAAACTAACAACCACGTACAAAACTTGATTAAAATAGAATCACATGGTAATGGAGCTCACAATCACATCACATTGTGCTGCTAAAACCAGGTCCTACCATCTAACAACAATATAAGAACTACAGCAATAAAAATAGGAAGTGATGACTGGTGAGTAATGGAAGCATGGCTGGCCAGCAAAAGAGGGTTCTGTGAGGTTTTTTCTTTTTCTTCTGAAGAAAGCTAGCTTGATGCAGCGGCAGTAGTAGCAGTAGTCCTCTGGTTTCTAGCAGTAAGGGGGATCAATGAAGGCCCATTCGAAAACCTGCTCGTATTGGACGGCAGCATTCTCCCATGAGTAGTCCTTCTCCATGCCCCTCTTCATCATCGCTTCCCACGACTCTTTGTGATCTCTGTATGTCGATATCGCAGTTCTCAATGCCTGCAAGAACACCATTTCCCATTCATAGATAAAGGTTAGAGTGGAACCAACCAGGCTCAGGAGGAGTGGAGGAGAAGGCACTTGCTTAAGAAGCAGTTTTCACGCGAATTGTAAGAAACCCAACTTACCCATAACATGCTGTCTACTGCTAAAGGGGAAAATGTCCACCTGTCAATACATCGGACTAGTCAGGACAACCGTAGGACAACATTAGGAGCTGAAAGATCAGCCAGGAAACAAGGCCGAAATGGGAAAACACGTACCCTGTGCCATCACCTTTACCGTCTTTAGCAAATGGATCGAACGTCTGCACTGTGTCCTGAGACAACAATGACCACATTATTTAGTACAGCATACAACAGATTTCTTTTCTTTCTTTTACTTTTCCATATGGACATGACTTACTCGAAGTCCTCCTGTGCCATGAACCACCGGGATAGTTCCATATCTCATAGCATACAACTGATTCAGTCCACAGGGTTCAAATCTCGAGGGCATCAGCAGAATGTCGCAACTGTCACAATTCCACACGAGCTCCATCATTAGTCTCACTGGTATTTCTAGCAACTAATTTGTTTATGAAACACAGAGATAAGGTTTGATTATTACCCTGCAGTTATTTTGTGGGAAATCGGAACATTGAATCCAACCCAACCTCGGAATTTGTCTTTATGGGCTGCCTCTGCTTCTCTCATCCAGCCTTCATACATTTTATCTCCAGACCCAAGCATAACCTGATGCATAATGGAGAATTTTTCAGTTGCTTCAAAGGACATCCACATTGTAATCGGTCAACAATCATATGACCTCAACTAATAGTACTATAGTAAATAAACTTGAAATATGAACTCACTTACGAATTGAACATCATCATGCAGAAGCTCAGGAATCCCCCAACGAATAAGGTCAACACCCTTTTGGTAGTCTAATCTCCCTATAAATCCAATCTACAATGCAAGTGAAAAATTCAATCAGCAACAGAAGAGAGAGCTTCAATGTTCCACAATAAAATATCCAAGCTTTATCGCCACTTTACCATGGGACATTCAGGTCTAACAGGAAGGCCCAATTCCTTTTGCAAAGCAATCTTACATTGAACCTGCAAATTGTAGAGAAAGTGGTGAGAGGGCAAATTTTCATGACAACTACTCAGCAGAAAAATGGGAAGATATTCAACCCAAAAGAAGGAAGGAAGATAGCACCTTTCCAGAAAGATCATCAGCAGAATAATGGGCTTCTAAATGTTTATCGCTTGATGGATCCCATTCGTTAACATCAATGCCATTCGTGATCCCTAAGAAATCGATTGCAAGTGAGGAACAAAAGGCTTAAATTTGGCAGAGATTAGAGATCAAATGTATCAGATGATCATAAAGTTTGAGTGTGTACCATTCAAAACAATCCTTCGAGTGCTTAACAACTCATTAAGACCATTTCCACCTTCAACGGTCGTTATTTCCCACGCATACCCCTGAGAGGTTATCATATTACCACAACATATGTGAGCATGATATTCCAGGTAATACAGAAGCAAAAGTAGGCATATAATTTAGAAATTATTCTACCTTGCTAACAGTCAATATCCGGTCTGATGTCACAATAGCGCCCTTTAGCACATTGATCGCTTCACCTGTGTCAAGAGCATGGGCCCTTGCCCATTCAGGGAAAACCCATCCCAATGCCCCATACCACTCTGGAGATAATCCTAGATTACCATAAGTTACTGCTGGCTCTACTCCCTTCAACGCAGAAGAACAAAAAACTTGGTAATGAAGCTAACAAATTGGTCACCAAATAGACCTTTTGCAGACACAAAAATGTACAGCTCCTGAAACAAACTTGCTGCAGAAATTCAACTACCAAAAATACAGCTGAAGTAAGCCTACCTGATGAGCAAGATTGTGTATCACAAGAATACATCGAGCATCCTTATAAACACCATATGGACGGTACTTAGCAGCCAAAAGTCTGAACCAAAGGAGGAGCCAAAATCAATATCCACAGTAATTGTCTAGCATCGTCCTTCCTCTAGGAAGAACACATTCTTCATCCAAATTAATGGAGAGTTCATATTCCAAGAGAAACAACAATCCCAAGCAAATATCATACACATCTTACTTGGTCAATAAGGAAAGAGCACTTACACAGGAACCAAGCCAGCATGCCAGTCATTGACCATGAACAGGCATTTCTGGCCATAGGTGAACCCTCCCAGTGGGAGCACTAGCGGTGCTTCACACGCTGCATAGCAGAGTAAAGCGAACCGAAACTGCATATAACCAAACAAGAACGCTTACCAAATCGGGATCCAAAACTAGGCAGCATTATTAACAGTCAGCACTAGTGGTGATCACAAAAGTACCTGGTTATCACCAAAAGCACCATTGATGTCTCCATAAGGATTCCCAGGCCTGTGGTAAGAAGGATGGTCTACGAACACCTAAATGAAACACGCCCATCCAAGCTACATTACTACAAATTCACCAACTTTCGAAGAGTTTTAGACTATTGAACTAAAAGGGAGACAAAAAGAAATTTACCCAATCAACTAGGTCCCTGTACTCATGAAAAAATGCCACTTCTTGCTCCCCTCCAAAGCAAGCAATCTTAATCCTACAGTCAGCATCTAGAGCAGCGGCAAAGGTATCGTCTTCAGGGCTATGTAGATACCTTGGAGAGACAACCATAACACGGTGTCCTCGAGCAGCCAGTGCAATCGGCAATGAACCACAAACATCTCCAAGCCCACCGGTCTTTGAATAAGGCGCCGCTTCAGAGGTCACGAAGACAATACTGTGTGCCACTTTCTTCGGAGCTTCGTCTACCCCTTCAATGTCGCCATCTGTCTCCTCTACGTTCTCAGAAATGACTTCAGCAGGACTTTCAATTGCCACCTCACCTGTGAAGAAGAATTATCAAATTCGCAATGGTGTAACACAGGAACGAAGAGATCAATCCAATTGAGTCGAATTTCGAAAGTGTGGTGTTTACCATTAAGGGAGTGAGAGGTGGACAAATTGAAGCCAACGACAGAACCAGAATCATCTGTCTCGGGGTCAAGCAAGAAACCCTTGTTGTCTTCTACTCCTTCTTCCTCCTCCTTCTTCCTCTTGCCAATTCCATCAGGCACACTTGATGTGATCGAAGACGAACTCTTGTCAGAAGCACGGGCAACCAGCTGCTGCGGGAAGCCGCCATTGCGGCCACGGCTTCTGCTGCGGGAGAAGTGAGCGAAACCCAGATGGTTAACCAGCTTACCTTTGATTTTGACGGGTTCTCCCTTGGGGAAAGGTTGAACCCAGTATCTTACTGAAAGGGTCTCCATTTGAGAGAAATTGGAAACCTTTTTCGTTCCTAAGAAAACAGGGGAAAGAGAAGGTACAAGTGAAGTAAGCACCGGCAGAAAGAAGGGATCAAGGTAGTTGAAATCACAAGGAAAATCAGGGAAAAGTGATAGATATTAGCGGGTGGTATGTGAGAAGGAAAAAGGAGAAAAAGAAGAGAAAAAAGAATTATGGAATTCTCGGGAATGGGAAGGAAGGAGTGAGAAACGGAAGAAGAAGAGGAGGGAAGTTGGCAGAAAAAGCGCCAAAGTCTAAAACTGATCCGTTCCTTCTATGGCGAACGAAACAGAAAACACCATGTGAGATTGTGAGTGAATAACATTTCAAGCCGTCCATTTCCTTCGTCTCCTATGCTCGTGCTTACCGCCTCTCATCGAAGATCAACCTCACTAAGGTCCGTCCACGTGGCAACTGTCAACCAGCGGCATAATAGGCTGTGGAAGTTTTGGAGTCTTCTCTCTCTCTCTCAATTCTCTGCCTTCCATATATGTTGGGTTGGGCCTCCTTATTCCCAAACTTTGTCGACAACACAAAAAATCTTTTTATATTTTTACCAACCTTACTAAACACTAGTGTTAACCAGCTTACCTTTGATCCGTCACGTTCAGGATAGAGCTGGATCGGGGAAAATTTTAGGAACGATCTGGTTTGTCATCCTATTGACACTCTAGTGAATGCCTCATATCTTTCAAATTAAGATTAGGACGACTTTTTGAGTTGTAAGTTGTAACCAAAATACGTATTTTGCTCGAATGGTAGTGATTGATTGGACGAGTTTTGGAGTGTAAGTACTTGGGTTTTTTTTTTATCATAAACGCACGCATATACTACATCGAAATATTTGAATGTTGTTAAATACGTATTTCGTTTTGGATCGGGAAGCTCATCATCGAACTTGGATAGGTTTCTTTCTAGTATTGTCAACCGCGCATAGAAGAGCTTCATCATCACAATTCACAACTACAACATGACCATTTTGATGCGAGATGAACAGCACAAATCATATAGTAACATTACAATATTTAACAGACTGAACATTTTATTACATAGCCTTCTGGGCTTTATGACGTCACAAGAACCAAAAAAAAACCGTTTTTCTTACAGGACAATAAAACGTTAATGAACCAAATTATAAATAAAACCACACACACATACATAGTTGTCTATATATTTATATGCATGGTATAATATGTCCTCGTCACCCAAAATCATGCCTCCACCCGCCGTGGCCATCAACCCCCGGCAGCTTCCAGTCGTCGGCGCCGCCGCTCGAATCCGGGCTGTACCCTGCCGGCAGCCTTCTCGAGTGAAACCGCATCGGGTTCGGGCTCTTGGGCACGTGGTAGATCGCCGTGCCACCGCCGGAGCTGGAAGAGTCGCAAACCGACGACGACCCGACGACATACCCTCTCTTCGTCGACGAGTTCCACTGCGGGGTGTATGGGCTCACCTGCTTCACCGGGCCCATGTTCGAACGGGCCTTGGCCTTAGCGGACTGGGTCGGGGCCATGTAGCTGGGGACGTTGTTGGGCGTGGGCGGGGCCTGCTGCCTTCTAGTACGGGCCGAGTACACGTGGCTGCTGCCTGCTGGGTCCATGACGCCGATGCTTATGTTGCCGATCCCGCTGCCGGCGGCCGTGGTCGGAGTGGCCACGTCCATTTCCACCGTTTTCTCTGACTGGTCGTCGGTCGTGGTGGTCGTGGTCGTGGTCATGTAGGAGTTGTCGGTTGGGCCGAACCGGCCACCGTGGTATGGCTGGGAAGACATCCAGCGTTCTAGCCAGTTCCAGCCCCACTGGGCTTTTGCTTGCTCTTCGCTGTACAGGCCCAGGTCCATTCCGTTTGGGCTGGGCTGCGGTAGGTGTTGTTGCTGCTGCTGCAGATCGATTGTCATTTTCAAGATGGTATACAAGACATTATTAAATTTTTTTTTTATAAAGGTATACAAGACATTATTAGATCAGCACAAAGTGTAGATCAAGTCTAGGGATGTATACTTCAATTTGATTATCATCCAAAATTCGATTGATTTTAGACCGTATCAAATCAGTAGTAACCGTAATTACGCATTATAGAATGGGATGCATACCAAAGTGAAGCGGAGGTTTACCTGATAGGCGTAGGCATAAGCGAGGGCTCTCTCCCTCTGAACCACGGCCTCATGTTTCCTCACCGCATTCTCCTTCATCTTACTGGAGGTCTGATGCCGGTTATCCCAGCTCTCCACCACGTAGCTCTTCTTCAATGGACTCCTCGAATTCATCAAGTGATCTTGAAAAGTCGACGTTTTGTGCCCGTCATACTCCTCCTCCTCCTCCGGTCCATCCTTCGTGTGCAGCTTCTCGTGAGTCAGTTGCATACGCCGAGCTCTAACCCTCGCTTGAACTCGCACCAATGCCTGCATGCACCTCATCGTCATCTGCGCCTGCTTCCTCACGTTGTGGCCTCTCACCAGTGCTTGCAGCCTCACCAGCCCCTTCAATGCCCGCAACGCACGCCTAGCCTGCACCAAAAAGAAGTGTCACTTCTGATGCCCTCATTTATTTTGGAGCGCGAGAAAATTAAAACTCGGCTCGAATCAGCTCAGCTTAACAATGAAGGGACCATCGACATTGAACCAGAAAGCAAGGGAGGTGGCAACTAAATGAATAAGGACAAAAAAAAAGTACACAACTAGACCTAATTAAAAGCTAGTCACGCATTGCTTGGTTCAGAAGGCATCTTTTTCCTCCCTCTCTTTTATCTTTTTGTTATCGTAGCTAGGATGCCCTGAATGGCACGGCAAATGATGAAAGTAAACACAGAAAGGGACATATGATCGTCGTCAACCAACCCTCTGGTGCAGTATTCATTATAATACTAAAGATAAATTAAATGTGGTCAGGGGTAAGTAAAAATTTACCAGGTAGCCTCTATAGTGGGATTGAATTAGGGTAGCGGCTCGGTCGTCTCTGGACTGACGGCCATATCCGGCTAGTCGAACGACTTTGGCTGCGGCCTGAGCAGCTGCAACGGCCGCTTCCGCTGCAGCAGCAGTCGCCGCGGCGACTGCAATGGCGTGATTCCTGTCGCCGGAGACAGGGGTCGTCGTGCCGCCGGTGTCGTCGTTAGTGACATGATCAGGGGAGCTCTCGGCCGCAGGGAAGTGCTCGAACGAGACTACCTCGGGGGCCTCGTGCTGCCGCCATTTCTCACCACCACCACTAGTATTCTCCTTCTGCAAGAAAACAACAACAATTCGACAAATTGACAAATTTAGCAGCTACCGTGTAATTCAGAAGGGGTTGCAATCGACTTAATGTTGGGTCTCGAATGCTATGCTATTTATGTACATACGCTGAGCGAAACATCGAAAAGTTATAAAATGATGAATCGTTAGTCGTTGATTCTAGGTCGTACTCGATCGCTCTAAATCCTGATTAGTTAAAAGTGTGGGGTTTGTGGGGGGAGGGTTGATGGTGATGAAACAGGGGAAGGGGGGGGAGAAATTGCACATGGATGTTAGGAATCCAGCCATGGTGGCATGACAAGAATGTGTCAAGACAAAAGGGAAAGAGGAGGGGGTCCTAATTCAGGAACAAATTTTAATGGTGGTGGCCTAGTGGTGGTGATGGACACAAAGGGACCATCAGTACAACTAACTTGCATATTGGAAACAGAGCTTGCTAGCTTACACCAGTAAAATATAGCATAAAAATGCCATCTTTGATCTTGTATTTTACCTATTTGGATGGTTCTTCTTCTGGGATTTGTATAATTAGATAATCCCAGAAAGAAAGTGACAAAAGAACCAAAGGAAGAGTCCAAATCAAGACACATACACACATAAGACCCATGAGTTCATTAATGACACAAAGCTCTCTCTGTTTTCTTTGTCACGACCTAATTAAGATTGGTGGGGGGAACACTAATGAATGATTGAATACCCTGTTCGTCAATTTTGAACTACTACAATTGGGGAAGAAGATGGCGGTTACCTTTTTCTGGGGCGAATCCTTATTGGAGTTAGATTTGAAGACTTTCTTGACTGAAGAGAACCATCCACCACCGCCGCCGCCGCTCTTCTTGCCCATCTCCTTCTTCCTCCGCGCCCGCTGGTCCGATCACCTTCAATGTACAAGAACCCAAAACTTCCCTAAATGGGAAAAAGGCTGAAACACCAAAACCAAAACAAACACCAACACCAACACAAGGAGCTAGCAAGGGCACCTAGAAAAGAGGAAGCGACTAGGACCCAGAAGTGGATTTGGCGAGAGTGAAGGTTTGCTGAGTGACTCTGCTCTCACATTTCCTTCTTCTTCTTCTTCTGGCTTTGCATCCTACTCTGTTTCGTTTTTGCTAATTCGTAACTGATCACCTCATTGTTTTTCCGAATTCCGTCTTCCCCTCTCTGTGTGGAGAGAATCAAGCCGGAGACAATGCTCTGTTTCTCCGGCCTCCAGAGGCGAATCGAGAACTAACGGGAGAGAGAGAGAGAGAGAGAGGGTGGGAGTGGAGAAGAAGAAAAGAATACTATGGAGAGAGAGAGAGAGAGAGAGAGAGATGAAGGGAGGGCGGTGGTGGTAGAAGTAGAAAGGAAGGAGGAGAGTGGGAAGAAGGAAGTAACTGTCAAGCGGCGGGATCGCCGTTACCGTATTTATCAGAATCACGGTCGCGCACTTTGCAAACCTACGCCTTTAATTTCCCCCGTCTTCTCTCTCGCGCCAGCGTCACCCAATTGTGTTTCGACACCTGTCCGTTATGATCTCCGATATCCGATTTTTGTTTTTATTGACTTTCTCGGTGATTTTTCCCTCTGTTTTTACTGAACAGAAATGGTCACCGAGCTTATGATTTCTGACAAGTTAGTCACTGAATTTGGTTTTTTGGTAACTTTGTCGACCTAAATTGAGGGACCAATTTGTCAGTGGTCCCAAGCCCAGTGGGTATTAATGTAATTGACCCACTAGTTAATTTGCCATGGCTAATTGGCTATCATTTCTTCAACTAGCACAGGGCCCCGTCCGTTGGCCAGGTTGTTCTTGTTGTTGAAGTATTTCTTGATTTTATTTTTGTAGTTGTGTGTTTCTTTCTTTTTTGTGTAAGTATTGGATGGATTACAACTCTACTTTTTTTCTAATAGGTGCGTCGTGTTACTTTATTTCTTGCGTAAGTATTGGATGAATTGCAACCCTACATTTTTTTTCTAATAGTGAAACCAAAATGTTGGTTTCACTCGTGTCGTAGATTCTTGTAGTAATTATTTTGTTTGGTTAATTTCCTCATTGGGAAAGCTTGATAAATATGAGTACATATGACTAACTTATATATGTTTGTTTTCAGTTTTCACCATGTTGTTGATGCTCGTTAGGGATGGCAATGAGTCGGGGCGGATAGTGCTTATCCGTTATCCTACCCAAAGTAGTTCGGATGTTACCCATACCCACATAAGAAACAGGTAAAAAATCAAAATCATGCCCATACTTGTTTGGGTTTCGGGTATCCACGGTCATCCATGGATAATAATTTCTCTTTATAACTCCAACCAATATGTTACGTACCATTCACTCATATTCTCGCATTACATAAACGTAAAAAGTGCGACAATAATTCATTAGGGTGAAGAAAATTAATTAAAACAACATAATTTTATGAAAATATTATAGTTATATGCTAAATATAAAATATGGTAGAGAAAATTAATAATTATTTCTAGATAAAATGCATATGCATGTCATAATCAGGCGAGTTCGGGTTGGATAGTGAGAAAACCATACCTACCCATTACTCGCAATATTCGGGTTCAAGTTTTACCCGTACCCACTAAAATTCCTTCGGGTTCGGGTTTTACCCTACCCGATTCGATCGGATTCGGGCGGATATCCATGGTTACAGACATTTTTGCCATCCCTTTCTAATTGGCTATCAATAATGTAGGAAAGTACTCAAGTATTTGACTAATGAAGTTTTAAGAAATGTATTTGAAATCTAATTAAATATAATTGGGTTATAGGTATGATATTGCCATTTACTATGCAATTTTATCAAATATGCACTATTTTTTACATCATACTCTTATACTTTAGAAAAATATCAAACATGTCCTTATACCCAAATTTCCATCCAAAAATCACCTTAACCATGACCGAATTGTGGTTCAGAGACGACCTAACCTCGATAAAATGGGAGGTACCCATTCTCTAATAGTAACAACTTCAACTTTGATTAGAAACGCATCTAACTTGGTGTCATTGTAAAATATAAGATATGACTCATGCAAGATAAATTTATCTCATGCATCGATGTACTTAAAAAATAATAATCTAAATCACCAAAACACATGCAACCATATCTTGCATCACGAAAGAACCCAACAAAATGATACTTCAATAATGGATGTGAGAGTTTGACATGGCAACAACAGTTAATCAAGTGAAGAGGAGTGCAAGAAAAAAAGTATATAAGTTTTGTACATAACATTTAAGAAGAATGAAAAAAATGCAAAAAAAAAAAAAAAAATTACTAACAATTAAAAATTGAAAATCAGTTTGCATCTAAAAAGAGTGAACCTAATATCGACTATGAGAAACCATATTTAACAAAAAAGAGGGCAAATTCTATTCGCTAGTGGATTGGTTACATGCATCACAACAAATCCCATTTTCAAACAACCCCATAATAAATGAATTCAAGTGTGTGTCCAAAAAGATTACCAAACTAACTACCAGACGGCTTAGTTTGGCCAAATTGGTATTGCATTTTAGCCTCCACCTCCGGCATCACCAACCATCTCCGTTTTACCTATAAATATTATGTACTTATCAATATTGACCCAATCGAGGATCTGTAGGAAATGCTCTTGTATTGAAGAAATAAATCACATCCAAGATGGAAGGGTGATTTTGCACACCTCCCAAGAGGAGAAAGTGAATTCCGTAGAGGACTCCAATGCAATCGTCTTCCCGGGGTGAGTGCGTTCTTGCCCAATGCTAGGTAGTAGGGATAGGTCCGAGTAGAGATGTTGTTGGTAGATTTTCTGGAAGAGGAAGATGACGAAATCTGGCGGTTTCTGAAAATAAGGGATTGCCTCCCAAAATCGGTAAAATTTGATAAAAGATTAAAATTAAAAATATAAATTAAAGTTAAATAAAATTGCTCAAAGCTTGTCGCTAGGGCTGACAATTTGGTCCAGAATTGTTTGGTTTTACCCGAAACCGGACCGCATAACCCGGAACGGGATCGGTTTGGGATCGGATAGCAAACAATCCAATCTCATATTCGGGCTTAGATTTGAGGTAAAAAAACCCAGATAAAGACCGGATAAGAGACCCCAACACTCAAATCCCCACAAGTTCAATCTAAAATCAAAATCAAATTGGGACAGGACCGGGTCAAGACCGGACCGGATCAAGACTGGAGTGTATCCCATCCAATCTTTGATCCTTATATTCCCGAAAAGACCGGACTGGGACCAGATCAATTTGGTCCAATTTAACGAACCGGACCGTATAGACACCCTTCCGTGAAACACTCACATAACAACATTTTTAAAATGGAGAAAATTGGAGATATGAATCTCCATCATAAATTTTATAGATATGTTTGATGTTGGATCTACAGAGGTTCAAGAGAGCTTGGTTGTTCTCATGTAATTTCAGTTGCTGCTAATAAAATTATATAGGGGATTATAAATAAATTAAAAAATATACCCAAAATTACACTGCGAACGAATGCCTCATGAACTGAAAATCGGTTTTGTTCGGTTATAATCTGAATCGATTTTCATTTAACTGTTTAATTAAAAAAAATTGCTTAACGCAAGCCGTACCGTTTATATTTTTTGGTTTACCGAAACCACGTAATCGGTTCTCGGTTATTTTGTCAGTTAGTCATATGAACTTTAAATTAGTACTTCCATAAGGTTATATTTTAAGTAAACCAGATTGATAACAGAACTGAAGGTCACATTCATTTTTTCATTATTTAATCTTATTATTTTTTTGCTAAACACATATTGGGTTTTTTTACATTTAAAAAACATATTAGTTTTTCTAAAATATCATTAACTAATAAAATTAAATCTTTTTTAAAAATGGTCCATAATTTTAATTAATCTTATCATGTCACTTATTTTTGTTCTTTCTTTTGCATTTTCAGCCAATTCCCCTTATCTCTCCGCTTGTTTACTCCCACCCACCAGTGATACCAACACCATCTGGAACTTTCTTTCTTCTCTATCTCCTCTGTCCTTTCCCATCTCGAGACTCCCACCACCAAGATGAGCAAGATACAAATTTGCATGTATGTTCTTCACTCTTAAATCTCAAACTTAAAAAGCGGTCACTTTCCATCCCCTTGCGCTCCATCCTCTTCGACCGAGAGAGCAAGATAAACTCTGTTTTTTTTTTAATATCAACTTTGTTCTGTTTTCTTCTGGCGATAAGAGGAAGAAAAAGTGGTTGGGTTGGTGACTATCGATTCACATGACCATCAATTCACGGCGGAGGAGGGCGATAGAAACAACGGATAGCGTTAGTGACCCTCGATTCACGGCGGCAGAGGGGTGGTAGAACTTCCGACGAAATCCCTAAAGCTCCTGAAATATTGCTCCCATGCTTGTCGCTTGTTTTTTGGTCGGAGTCGCAAGAGGAATTGGTGGATAATAACACGGCGGCTGGTTTACAGCAACTCTCTGCTGGGATGAAGTGAGTGGCGGAGACGATTTGATGGCCAGAGTCAAAGGTAGAAGAAGATTTGATTGTCGAAGTGAGAAGGAATTGCAGATTGAAGAGGGAGGCGAAGGGGTTTTTTTGTTTGGTGAGCGACGGAGAGAGGATGGAGATAGGGGTGAGTTTTGAATTTTGATTAAATTGCAAATACGGTGGAAAAGTGGAAAATCCAAGAATAGGCCCAGATGATGTCCGAAGGCATTCCGTTTGGCCCATGTATGATAAAAACAATGGGCTCAGTAAAACAAAAACGCAGCACTTCAATTAAATGTGCAGAACCGTGAAATGTCTAATCTGCCCTTCCGTGAAGCTCTCAGGAGCCAGAGTTTTTGAATCCCTGCAAACTCAACCCTTGTTTTGGCTTCATATATCTTATAGATTAATTATAATCGTGTGCATGATCGATCTAGTAAAGCACCAAGAGGATTATGCAATAATCAAAACCCATTTACTAATTGAATATTGATCGGATTTTTAAGGATAGAGATGCTTATTATGATTGAATTAACTAGATAACGTGTACACATTAATATTTTATATGAGTTATGATTCTATGCATAATCAAATATTCTTTCAAAGAATAAAAAATTCTTGTAAATTTAGGAGATCCCAAAAAACAAAAGTTCATACTTAGGTTGAGATTTTTTGTGTTTGCTCCAATGTTTTTTTTTTTTACACTTGTATGGAGTATTTATCCAATCTAACTTGTGTTATTGTTAATTAGTAGTACAAATTGGTGGTGTGCTTCAAGTGGAATACAATGAAAGATGATGGATGTGTCAAGAATCAGTTGATTTTTACAAACTCACAATAACTCGAGTTGTTGGTAGAGATTCAGCAATGGATCTTACATCACATATTAATTAGCACGGTCTTTCAAACGAAAGTCACTCATATGAGATTGAAGTCTCCACAGACATCAGGCATCATGTGCTTGCCAATGTCAAAGAATACAATCTCCGCCACTTAAGATTTTAATATCACGTCAAGAACCAGCTGGTCCAGGGGCGGAGCTAGGTGAGGGCTCGGGGGGCCCCCGGCCCCCCCGAGAATTTTAGAACCTACGTATAATTTGTACGATATTTGAAAAGTTACGTATAAACATAACGCTACGGATAAATACATAAGCGTGCAAAATGTAATCAAATGCACACTGCCAGTCTAACGGTGAAGTTTTAAAGCTACATCTCCATTGACCCGAGTTCAATCCTTCGAAGGTGCAGGTTTTTAATTTTCTCCTATTGGTCACCATTCACGTTTCTTTGTGTTTTCATTTACCAAAGAAATAATTTTGTTTTTTTTTTATTTCCTTATAAGTTCAGTCATTGATTTTATATAATACCAATTTATTTATTCAACTTTTGAATTCTTATTTATTGTGTCATTAATTGACTTCAAACATTAATATATACATATATTTATTTTCCAGTCATAAAGATATTGAAGGACGTGGTATACATTGGAATGTATAATTTATTTTTTATTCATATAATTACCTTTATTTGGAACATAATAACGTAGAAATTTATTTTTTTGTCATATAATTTAATAACGCGATCATATAATTCACATTTCACTACTAGTAAACGAAACAAATTTCGGCCCCCCAAACATCAAATCCTAGCTCCGCCCCTGAGCTGGTCACAATAATTCGAGTTGTTATCAGAGATTCAATAATGGAATCTCATTACCATGTTAGAACAAACAAATTAATAATTAGAAGCAATTAGACTCCATTACTAGCGTAGTATTTGGTTGGTTGGTACGTATATAGGTGGCTTAAAACACAAATGAAAACTAAGCAACGTAGCCATTAATTAATCCCGATTTTAAGGCTAGGTTTATAGAGCCTAATTAGTTGGCTAACGACGGCATTATGTATTGCTTGGATTGAAAGTGATGATGACTCGTACAAAGATCCGGATTAGTTGTTGAAGAAGAGAATGAAACGAGGATGGTGGTGGTGGTGATAATAAGGTGGAGCAAGCGGGAGGGTCAATATATTAGTGGTTAGGTCTGTAATTGCAACTTTGCTTTACATGGAAGGGAAAGGGATCCACACAGTCACAAACGACATTCAATCAATGGTCTCTTTGTTTTCATGCGGTTTGGTGTTGGTGATAGGTAGCTTTCACCCAATTTATTACTCTTTTTCACTTCAACCACACCACCACTACCGATCGCCTTGTACACATACTCGATATCGTAAGGAAGTGGTTAAAATTTATATATGGATGTCTTCTAACAACAATTCGAATGTAAAGACCAGTTGGATTATGATTTGGTTGACGGTGCAAATCCAGGGGAGGCCTTTCCCGGGCCAAACCCCCAGCTCTCCTCCGGGTAAAGAGCTGGTATAGCAAATGAGATCTGCATGTTTCCAATCCTCGCTCCGTCTCTTTAGGGCCAATGCTAGCCGGTCGGGGTATCTAATTTTATATTCATATGAGGCACAATGGTCTATTATGTCCTCGATTTGTCCTTGATTTAGTATCATGGCTGATTTGTTATTGAGATCATGTGTTCAAGTCCTCACGCCCCCCCCCCCCCCCCCAACAAATATCAATCATTGTCTTAAAGAACACGGTATGACTGGTCTGTACAAACTTTAAACTCATGAGTTGACTTTCAATGGAACATGTAAGGAAGTGGTTAAGATCCATACACTGACCTAGAACGTGATATGACGGGTCTATGCAAACTTCGAATCCACGGACATTCATGTACGCCTATTTTTGTCTTTAGTTGTGGGTATGACTCGTATGAGTTATGACGATGGGGCAAAAAGTTTGGTGGGTGCCATTGCAGCCATAGGTAAGTCTCTTTCAATGATGACTCAAAGTTTGGGACCAACACAACTACACGAGTGGTTTTCGGACCCTTTTTTATTGCACTTGCACAAGTGTTGGGTCATAGGTGTGGTTTCAAGGTCTTCAACCTTCCATGCAGAGACGAAGAAGGAGACACGATCTGTAACTGTAAATAGTTAAGTTACTGGAGAACTAACAAGAGATGGGTATAATCTAAATGATAGCCATAACATTTTGTTGCTATAAGTATCACGAATAGGTTTTGTTAAGGTCAAGCAAGGGTTGAGCGATTAGTGTTGTTGATTCCGTATAGTATTTTGATTCCCATAGTATTTTGCGACCAAAAGTGTATAGAATGGTTACTAAAAGCTTGTATCTATATTTACGGGTTAAAGACACATTTGGTCACTGAGATTACAAAATTGGGACATGTTTAGTCACTAGAAAAAATTAATATCAAATTTGGTCACTACAATTACTAAAACTGGACACATTTAGTCACTCGCCGTTAGTCTCCGTCCAACTCCGTTAATGAAGTCCGTTAAGTGATGATGTGGCAAACAGAAATGCCTAATCAGCCGGATATAACCCAACAAAAATAAAACCCGACCCGCCACGTCATTATAACCCGCCACGTCATTAAAACCAACCCAACCCAACCCAATCCATGACCCAACTCCACCCAACCCTTCTTCCTCCTTCCTCTCACCTCCTTCTTTCCCAATATAACCTGATAAACCAACAAAGCATGTACAGCCATTTTCCACCATGTAAGGTAAAAGTCGAATCCTCGCAAGAGTTCCCTTCCCTGTTAGCAGCCTCTAATAAGAATATTCTAACCTTTCATGATAACTGGGCCTCTCAACCAAAGCTCCGCTCTCTGGCCAGGACCCAGAGCCTCCCCTGTTTCCGGATCCACAACCTTGGCCTCCAGATTCTCCGAGATCCGACCCGCCGACCCGTAGTTCTTCATTTCCTCCGCATCCATCATTCTCGTTCCCCCTCCCCCGCTCTCCGTCAACCCATATCCCTGTCTCCCACAAAATTTCAATCACACCAACCAGAAAATTTCAACAAAGCTTCTTCAATTCAATTAGACTGTATATATATATATATACCTGGATGATGTCCATGTTGGGGAATTTCTCCTTGAACTTCTCAGCGACATCCTTCTCGAGCGGAGCCCCGCCGCAGCCCAGTACCAGAAGCGAGCTCAGATCGTACTTGCTGGTCAGCTCCGACTTCACCATCCCCACGATTAGCGGCGGAGAAACCGGCATGAATCGCCGACTCCTCCCAGGAGGTATTGTGATTTGTCGATTTTCGGAGGTCCCCAGGAGATTTGAAGGGTTTGGTATATATACACGTCGGAGGTTCGTTCAATCGAGGGAGGATGGAAGCAGCAGCTACGGCTTCTGTGGTCGTTCAATCGTCCGGCGTCGGGTACTCGACGCAGTCGGCTTATGTCAGTCGATTAGGGTTTCAGTGTGGTTTGCGGGAGGAGGTGGGAGGAAGGAGGAGAGCGGCGGCGGTGGTTTTGGGGAAAGAAGGAGGTGAGAGGAAGGAGGAAGAAGGGTTGGGTGGGGTTGGGTCATGGGTTGGGTTGGGTTGGTTTTAATGACGTGGCGGGTTATAATGACGTGGCGGGTCGGGTTTTATTTTTGTTGGGTTATATCCGGCTGATTAGGCATTTCTGTTTGCCACATCATCACTTAACGGACTTCATTAACGGAGTTGGACGGAGACTAACGGCGAGTGACTAAATGTGTCCAGTTTTAGTAATTGTAGTGACCAAATTTGATATTAATTTTTTCTAGTGACTAAACATGTCCCGATTTTGTAATCTCAGTGACCAAATGTGTCTTTAACCCCTATATTTACCATGAACAATTACCGTGAAAGACCTTTTTAGCGACCAAAAGGCAGGGGCCGAATGAAATGGTCCCAACTCCTAAAGATGCTCTCTTTGGTTGCAATAGGAATTGGTGAATGGTGACCTCGTTGATGACACTGATAATAATAGCATATAGCTCAAGACATGTTCATGTTGCAATGAAATGCTTTAGGCATGCAGTACAGTTATAAGCTTGAACTGTTACACATGGGATTGACATCGATATTAACCGGTGGTGATTGTACTGAGGAAGGGAGCTTGTGGATGCTGCTGGTTCAAAAGTTTGGTTGTCACACTGAGCAATCTCCATTGGCCGACCTGATGACAGCGGTTAAAACTTCAGCAGATCAATCAAACCAAGTTTACACTTTAAGACAGAACTAGCTAGAAAGGCATGTGCTAGCTCAAGATTCTGTTGAGAAAGAGTAAGCCAACCTTTGGAGGATCGGTAATACACGAGGGTAGGGGCGGAGAACCTGAAAATGTCCATGCTGCCATTTCCATTTGCAGAGTTCAGCAGCAATCCATTCTTCTCCAAATGCTAGGCGAATTTACATACTATCCAAAGCGTAGAGGTATATCCTAAAGACATGAATTACTTTAAACAATCAAAGCTTCTGATGACTCACAATGACAGAACATAAAACTTACTATTCTCCACAATGAAATTCTTGGCTTCCAGCAACAGCGCACCCGAGAATCTGATTTTGCTCATTGCTTCTCCAGGTCGTGCCTTTTCGTTTCAGTATCCCAAGGCCCAAGCATACCCATGACTACAGGTTGATATGGCAATTAACAACGAAGAGTAAATAAAATAGTAATATTCAGGAATTCAGATAGAGTTGATCAATGACTAAACTAATTGTCGGTTACAATGTCGTTTGATAAATGCTTACCATCAGATGAGGAGCGATGCCACATGCCTCCTTCCTTGTAACATACAGCCAGACTGAATTGCCCTTACAGAATTCAGTCTCCTAAGTAAAGGTCATGCTTGACAGGGTTCAGTTTGTTGTGAGCATTGATTGTCAAGACTGCAAAGAGAAGTCTTTGCAGAACAATCAGAATCATGGCAAACTTGTTTTGGTTGCTTCAACAATGCACATGGCCTAGGAACTGGTGAGACTCTGGTCTCCTTTCCCTATCGCCTTTTGCAATGTAATGCCTTTCTCCTCTATAGACTGATCCTTATGCTCAATATCCAACACAAGAAAGTTCAGTCAGTTTAAGAGGATCCTCAACTGTAGTCCTCTGTGCCTTACGGCTAGTTCTACAAAAATAATCATATGTGATATACATGAGGAAATCCAGAAAGAGTGTCTTTTCATATGTTCCTCGCACAAGTTCCACCTTATTCTGGATATTGCTGAAAGCTCTCCCCATAATCTTATAAGAAATTTCATCCAGAACAAATGGAATCTCACTCAATTGCTTGACCCACATCAAGGCCCTCTCAGGCATTCCTTGTTTGCAAAACTGAGACAGCAATATATTGGTGGTGACAGCATTTGGCGCAAACCCCATTTTAATTAGTCTGGCACTCAAGATCACCGCACGATCCAGAACATCTGTACATACTCCACTTATCAAGGTGTTGTATGTTACCGTGTCTGGAGTAATCCCCATTGTGATCAACTCATTCAGCAGGATCACAGCTCGATTCATTTTTTTAGTATTACAATACCCATGAATTCGGATGTTATACGTGTTGATGTCTGGTTCCCATCCCCCCGCATACATTCTCTGCACTAGCTCATCTGCATGAACCGTTTCAAATGCTTTGCAATATCCACTGATCAAAGTGTTGTATGTGACAATATCAGGAGGGGTTAAACCAGAACGAAACATTTCTGCAAATGCATCCTCCGCCATCTTCATGTTTCCTACTTTACAGAATCCGCGAATGATGATATTCATTGTAAATGTGTCAGGAAGAAGGCCTTGTTGCCTCATCCCTTTCTCCAACTGCAGAGCATGACTTAGATTCCCAGAGTTGCAAAACCCAAGAATCAAGGAGTTGTATGTAAAACTATTGGGGATGCAGCCTTTCATTGACATTTCCAAGAATACATTATATGCCTCTTCCATCAAGCCTGCTTTCGAAAGGCCATCAATGACAGCTGAATAGGCAACAACATCAGCATGCATACCCATCCCTTCCATTTCATCCCATAGACTGCAAGCCCCATCAACATCCCCTCTCTTGAAACACCCATCCACGATAATCGTAAAAGCTTTTCTGTTGATACGAAATCCCTTGTCAATCATTTTATGCAAAAGTTCTGTTGCTTCTTGCACTCTACCTTTCTTGGACAAACCCATAAGTAAGGAACTGCATGTCAGAGAAGAAGGAGCTATACCGAAAGTGAGCATGAGTCTATAGACTTTATAGGCATTCTCTTCTTGTCCTAATTGGCTACAGGCAACAATAACAGAATTAAAAGCAACACTACTTAGACATACTCCCTTCTCCAGAACATCTTTCAGGAGTTGAATTGCTTTGTCCATGTGCCCTGCCCAACATAGCCCTGCAATGGAGATATCATATAGTGAACAAGGTGGAAGCAACCCTGATACAGATACATCTGTCAACAAGCGGTCAACATCCTCTCCGCTCCCATACCTATAATATCCAGCGACTAACGTATTGAATGTCACACCATCTGGCGGTATGCACTTACTTTTCATTTCTTCATAAAGCATCTTTGCCTGAGTGACTTTCTTTGCCTTCAGATATCCATTCAACATCGTATTGTATGTTGAAACAGTAGGCGAGAGACCGAATTGCTCAATCCCATCAAATATCTTTCTCGCTTCTTCTACATTTCCTTTACTGCAGAATGCATTAACAATACTGTTTAATGTAGGTATACTTGGTTTACAACCATTTTGAATCATGAAATCTAACCAACAAATTGCATCTGAAGTCTGGGCCCTCATGCAGCATGCATTGATCAAAATGTTGTACGAATACACATCTGGTTCACACCTAAATTTCCACATTATATGCAACAAACTCTCGGCAACTCTAACAAGTCCCTTCTGACAAAACCCATGAATCATAGTGTTGAAATTGTAATTACAAGGATGATACCCTACGCGAACAACGTCCCTGAACAACTTCCACGTACCAGCGAAATCACCAACTTTGAGCAGAAACTTCAACAGAATAGTGATAGCAGATGAACTTGGCCTAACTCCTGACTCCCTCATCCTGCCTAAAATGTCAAGCGCCTCATAACCCATATTTGCATTCAAGAAACTGCGCATGATAGTGTCAAGAACTGAGAAATCAGATTCAAATCCACTGTGCTTGCCCCACATAAAATCCACCAACTCTCTACTCCTCCGAGACCCGATTCTCCGAAACACCAACGAAACAACATCCTGTGCAAGACACCTGAAATTCTCCGCAGCCAAGGCGTGGGCCGCAATGCAGCAGGACTCAACTGTATCCTGAGAATCATCATTCTGAAACGCAAGTTTGAAGAATGCAAATGCGGCTTCACGGGATTCCAACAGTTTCATGGTCTTCACCAGGAAGTAAGGGGAAAACTTGAGAGAAAATGCCTTCAAGACGAATCCTTTCTTGCTCTTTATCAATCTAGAAAGTCCGACAACTAATATCCGGCATTCGTTCAAGTTCAAAGGATGCGCACCGGAGCAAGGGGAAGAAGGGCAGAACTGATGGAGGTAATACAAGCTAGAAGAATGAAGCCGCGCAAAATGGAAGTCAAGGGGCTTAGGCGAGTGAATTGAAAATGAGTGCACCTTAAAATGGCTGGCAGCAATCCGAAGCACTCTGGCAGACATCCGCAAGATTTCCAGACCCACCTCTGCCCCCCCTTCAACTTGGCTCAAGTCACTGTGGTTATCGGTGAACAATATCCAGAGGCTAACCAGTCCTCCATCCACAGCTGACTTGGTCTTCTAGTACATCTTTTCTCCAGCGCACAAACATGAAGCGTCTGATTTTGAGGCTCCACCATGAATATAAAACAAGTTGCCACAAAGTATACTCACCGGGAGAAACGAATTTTTGTTGTAGAATGAGGCGGACGGACAGAGGTTGGTCGGCGGTGGAAATTGCAGCAGTGGGCGACGGGTTGTGGGAGCTGGGGAATTGGGTGTGGGGATGGGCCGTGATCTTGGGCTTGGTGGGTTGTACGGGCGGGCCGGGAGAGCGAATTAAACTAGTGGGCTTTTAAAAGGCTGCTTAACATAGATGAGATCATTACATCGCCAGGTCACCAGTTCATAATGGTAGAGTACAAGAGCTGCAATAGCTTATTCTTCTAAAGCTGAATGAACAAATCTTCAGCAGATTACATCAACCAAACCAAATCGTGCGTACAAAATGACACAACCAAATGCAAGAATCAATGCCACACCCACACAGGGGAATGGATACACCGAGCCGCACAAGCCGAAACCAGGAAAAGCTTCAAGATCCCCCCATGTTGTCGTCGTCGTCAACCATGAGTGTTGAGAGCTTCCCACACCAGATTCTTTGGCACAGGGTTGGAGACGTCCCTGGCTTGCAACGCGACGGCTCTGAGTGTGTTGTAGGTGAAGACATTCGCCATCCAGAACGAGGCACAGTTGTAGGGCAAGTTGTGCTTCTTGCAGAGCTCCTGAACAAATGGAGACACCTTTCGAAGCTGGCACCTCGGCAGGCGAGGGAACAGATGGTGCTCCACCTGAAACTGCAATCCGCCATGGAACCAATCCATCCAAGAAGGGGACGATATGTCGAGCGTCCCGTTCGCTTGCTTCTCGAACCAATCGTGACCACTAGGAGGCCCGGCGTAGACACTGGAGGAGAAGTGGTTGAGACAGAACTGAACATGTTGAATCCCGGTAACCGCGAAGCTAACCACCACGAACATCAGCCTCTCCCCGAAATTGGGCAGGCAAGAAACAAGCAAAGGGTACCAAATCCAGAACACAATTAGGCCGACGATTTCTTGAACCCTGTTGGGCACCCTTCTCTTGGAGAGCAGCAGCGCGAACGACTGCGCAAACAGATTGATCCTGGCCAAGCACATCACAGGGTAAAATGTCAGGTGCTGATAACTCACCAGGAACCTCGCGGCGGGGTCGAAGCTCAGCTTCCTGTCATAGAAATGAGACGTCATTGAGCTGAACAATTTGGAAGAGACGGCGAAGAATGGAATGTGCTGCAGATCCGGATCGAAATCGAGGCTGTTGCAAGCAATGTGGTGGGCATTGTGGTTCCATTTCCACCATCCGATGCTTATCCCAGCTAGGCAATTGCCCGCCAGCAGCTGAGCAACCCGATTCAGCCGGCGGGTCGCCATTATCTGGTAATGTCCAGAATCATGGCCGAGCCAGCCGCTCTGTATCCACATAAACCCTAACATCCCGGCTGAAAGCAAATGAACCCAAGTGCTGTCGCTGCAGAGGATGCCGTAGAGACTCATAGCAAACAGCACCGCCATTACGACGAACGAAATTAGGACGCCGTGCCCTTTCTTCTCGAAAAGACCCAATTTCGAGAACTCAGCTACCAGCCTCCTGTAATCTTTGGAGACCTCAGAGACCGTGTAGTCTTGGAGATGTTGCCCAGTGAAGAACCTGTCGAGGTGCTTCCAGGCGGTGCCCGGATGGAAAGCGAGGAAGGCGTCGGAGGCGTCCTGGCCGGCGAGATTCATCAGCGGGAGCTGGCCACCGGGGTGGGATTTGGTCCAATCGGTGACATTGTAGATCTTGCCCTGTATAGAGATCCATAGATCTCCCGCCTTGTTGTGCTTGGCGAGCTCCTGCTGCGAAATGTACTTCTTCGGCTCCGCCATTTGCAAGCCCGGAGAGAGATCTGATGTTTAATTAACAGCTACACAACTGCGTCACTCTCTAAACTTTCTAGCTCTTCTTTATAATGGGAGCAGATGGCAATACAAAGGTTTCAACTTTTTGTAAGGGTTGAGCTAATTTTTTCGATTATCAGCTTCTCAAGGGTACAGACAGACTCTGGTAGTGCACTGCAGAGTACTGAGTGGGAGTGCGAGGAAGAAGATGAAGGCAACGATCGAAACGAGTGGTTGGTGCTGCCCATGGTGTGGGGCCTAAGCTAGCAAAGGATTGGGGGAGCGCCATAGAAAAACAATTTAAAACCAGCAGAAAAGCGGAATCTTTCTTTTTTGATGCGGAAATATCCACTCATTCTAGCCACTGACCCGGCGGGGACGACAAACTGTTACAGAGTACAGACAGAGCAAAATATAAATATCTTGCAATCCTCCGTGATTTTAATTAGGTTTGTCTCGGTTATTGGTTTTAACTGATAATTGAACAGATAAGAACGATTATTTGTTAATCGATAATCGATAATTTTTTAGTGGTTTGGTTTCAATTAATTGAATTTTGTTTAGTGATTAACCGCTAACCGATTAATCGGCTAATTGTTAATCAATAAAAAAAATTAATAACCGCCTACTAGTATATTGATATACTTTGAGCTTTGGCTAGGGGGGAAGTCTCCAGACTAAAACACAACCAAAACAACCATTCCTAAAATTCCAATTTACACCTATTGCATACAAGCCTCTCGCACTCTCAAATATGTTTAAGAGTTAGAATCCGAAAGTCACCCATCTCTGAATCCATTTTGCAGTCTACAAGGGGACGCGGCACAAGGCCAACCTATCTGAAGCACTGCTTAACCCGAGTCGTCCTGACTTTAAGCAAGAAAGGTGTGACCCACTTGCTAGTAACAACTAACACCCGTCAGCCTCGAGGCTCAGGCCTAGTCGCCTAACATATAATCGAATTTGAACCTATTTTAATGTAGAAATTGTATCATTATAATTTTGAGTAAGTTTCCCACAAAAAAAAATATTATTTTTGGTGCGAATTTGATACCTTAAATGTCTACATTAACATATAGAACAAGTATATTATAGATCCCCGGTTCCCCACATTTCACAACTTCAATCATCCATATCCTTCATGTATCGCAAGCTAATTTATGTACAAAACAAACTGACATCACAATTAATCCGACAATTGAAAAAGCACATACAAGAACAATCCAATACAAAATAGGCCAAATACACTTGTATAGCCAAAACTTTGACGGTTTTGCCAAATATAGCCACTTTTGGAGAAATACCAATAATAGCCAGTTTTTTAAAAATTTGATGACAATAATAGCCATTTCCGTTACATAATTTAACGGCGTCAGTGACACCGTTAGTTAAATTAACGGAACGCTGACTTGGCTGCCAACTCACCCTCTATTTCATTTCCAACTCAGCACTCACACGACACGTCATTTACAAAAATAAAAAATAAAAAATTCGCCCTATCCCTATTGACCTAATCTCTTCGAACCCTCTTCTTTCTCCTCCAGCAACCCCTCTTCTTCTCCATCAAAACCAGCAGCTGCCGCCGGTCAGTCCTCGCCACCGCTGCCAAGATCGATTGTTTCAGCTCCTGATTTTGCAGAGTTCTCTATCATTGCTGCCACCTTCAGCAGGCTTAGTTTCTCGTTGGAATTCACTTCACCTGCAAATCAGTGAGGCAAAAACACAAACAGTTGGCATGCATCAAACTCTACACGAAATTTTCGACCCCATAAAAAATGAAATCTGAAACCCAAGCTTCCCACAAGACGAGAAATCTGAAACCCAGTTTCCTTGGCAATTTTGGCAACTAGGTCGTCGAATCCGGCCGATTTCTCCAACTGGGAATCGCCAGAGACAAGCAAAGAAGCTCGCTGGATCAACCCACCGAGCATCTCGAACATCTCGTTCGAGTTCCACCAACCGAACCGCCTCTCTGCTCTGCTCACGGCACTGGTGAACAGCCACCGTCCTCCTCACTTGCTGCAGCAGCGCGAAGAGCTCCTCTGGCACATCTGGCAGGCGCTGGTGTTTGGAGATTTCTTCTAGCTTCGCTTGCTCTTCGTTTTGGATGGACTTGACTACGGCGACGGAGGCCTCCACTTCGTCGATAGAAGGCCTCGGCGGGAGGGATCTGTAGAGCCTCATGATTTCGGCGACGGTATCCACGAAGGCTGGCGACGGAGCTGCTGGCCCGCCGCCATCGTTGGATTTCACGGCCATGGCTGCTGCCTGGGAGAAGAGATGAGGATGTGTCTGTGACCCGGTCGGGGCGGCGGTGGGGCAGAGGCAGGGGAAGGAAACGAATCGGATTTTGAATCGGATTTTGAATCCGGTGGTGGTGGTGGGATTTGGGTAGTTTGGAGAGCTTGTGGTTGTGGTTATGGTGGTGGTTTTTGGCGGCGGCGGTGTCGATGACGTCCTTGATGCTCTGAGCGGATTTACGGCAGCTGGAGCTGGCGATGAGGTTTCGCGGAGCTGGGCTGAACACGTCGTCGAATGCTCTGGATTTGCATTGTAGGGATTTGAATGGGGCGGCGGAGGTAAGTGGAGCTAGGGATTTGAACGAAGGTGAACAGGTGGTGGTGGGGAGAAAGAGATTTATTTTTATTTTTTTTTTAATTTAATTTGATTAAAATTATAAGTATAAAATTTTAATTATTTTCCATCTAACATTATTTTTTAATAAAATATGCCACGTCAACCACTGCTGTTAGTCCAGTCAACACGTTAATTAACACCGTCAAACAATTGGATGGAATTGGCTATTATTGATATTTCTCCAAAAGTGGCTATATTTGGCAAAACCGTCAAAGTTTTGGCTATGCAAGTATATTTGGCCTACAAAATAAAAAATGTCATCACATTCAATCAAACGATTGAAAGAGCGCACATACGAGAACAATCCAACAGTCTCATTTCAATCGCGTATGAGAACAATCCGACAGCCTCAACACGTGGTCGATTGCCCAACCAACTAACCCCTTAAACCTTGGCACTTCAATATCTCGAATGTGTGAAACCAAGAAGTAGCAACAGAGATGGAGGAAGACGAGTAGAAAAACCCAAGGCAACTGTAAAAAAAAAACGAACTTTCTTCTGCTGTCAAACAAATTATTACACAGGCCTCCGTAGTTGTGGCCTCTGCCCATTACATGAAAAACAGGCATGAACACTTTGAAGCTTTTATATGCAGCTAATTAGTCTACAGCCCAAATGATGAACATGGTTTTAAAACTTGACGTATATGTACATACACGTACGTATGTTATCTCCAGCTCCAGAGCATTCGCGACGTCAACCAGCTTGGAAGAAAGCTGCAAACTTGAAAAAGAACCAGGCTTCAGAAGTTCCAGGGTCTCTGCGCCAGCGAGGGGAATTCTGATCTTTGTCCACTGTCAAAACATTTTTTGTTCTCATATATAGAGGCATACAGAATATCATTTGCAGCATTACACACTACTGATGTCGACGCGGCCTTTCTGGAGCTGAAAAGCAGGGGTGATCCAGCTCCCGCAACTGCACTGTATGCCCGACCAATTGAAGTAGCCCAGTCGAGCGTCACAGTGCGCACATGACAACTTCCCCTCTAATCCGCCATCCTCAACTGGACAACAAAAGGTGGGGGCTACAACCATTACTTACTTGAAAGAGTTTCCAGATATGTGTACAAAGCTAATGTGCGAAGCATAGATCAAATATTGAGCTATCTGGATAGGGTATCACAATAACTCGGGAGCACTATCCTTACTCGAAAAGGGAAGAAAAAAGGCACAAGGGAAAAGTCCTACACTAAAATGTTATGCATCCTCATTTTGATATGTTCTAGCAATTAAAAAGATTGTACTAGATCTTAAAGCAGTGGACATCACTATAATATTATGCCTTACAACCTGAACTTATTGATGACCTCTAAGCCGATGTATCTGCCTTAAATTCTTCTCTCGAAACAGTGGCCATATTCCTAACTACTGTCTCACCATCAAGGGTGCCAAAATGTTTTGGCCACTAATTTGAAGAATGCCCTCATTATAATCCAAGTTTTCAAGCTGGATGGAGATCAATAGAAGGGGTGCGCACTATTGGTTTCAGAAAGATAAAGCATATGTTGCTTATCATACAATATTTAGATCTTCTAACTCGATTAATTTGGCATGTGCTTCTAAACAGGGAACACAAGCTACTAGTTAGCTTGTGGCATTAAAAATCAGGAGAATAAGTATTGGCATACCTGCTTTCATCCACCGTAGAGGCTCAATAAAGATAGATGAACAGTCAGTTTCATCAGACTTGCTAAATGGATTGCCACTTCTTCGCTTGTTCCATGAGAAGGATGACTCGCCCTCTCCCGGAATATGACCAACAACATTACCCTCTAATGCAATTAGCCTTCTGCACTTCTTGCAACGATATGCTTTTACACGCTTTTTTTCTCCATTTAGTGGTGCTGCTGTCTGTGCCTGAACTTCTACAGCTATACTGGGATCCGCAGCAAACTGATCGCTTTCTATCTTCTCTCCCCGGTTATAGCAGTCACCTGGAAGCACAGGCCGCTCAGTATTTTACACAATACAAAAGCTCGTCCTCACTTGTATTTCGTATCCACTAGGTATATTGAAGCAACCCGAAAGCATAAACTACTATTAAAAAAACAAGAATCGGTAACAAGCAAAATGCATCTAATCTCAAGCTTAGCCTCCAATAAGGTACTCATTCAACTAATATTTGCATTCAAGTTTCTTATAAATATATACCATCAGTGCAGCACTTCCCCACTGAGTGCAGATCCAGTAGAGTGATGTTCCTATTTTAACCGATTTCTGCCTCGGCATATATCTATCCCTTCATAGTTGATCCATCAAAAAGTATGATAACCTACACTATGATGCATGAGAGACACTCTCTCAACCTCAAAACTCCATGGTTGATACTTGATATCTCTGTAGAAGTTTATCCTGAACTAGGTAAGACTAGCCAAACCAAATATCACACAGGGAGCTATTAAACCACAGATGACAGATGAATCGAATTATTTTGAATTCCTAGTTCATTCTAAAAACAACACCAATCAATCAGCACCTTGCAACTAATGTGGGTTGGTTCCCATGAGATCAGGGGAAAATGCATACCTAATACTTTCACATGGAAGCGCTTGTATATAGAACTCCCATGATCAACCTTGAAGCCCATGTCCTCAAACATTTTCAACTGCAATGAAGAAAAACGAACAAGCTGAAAAGTTTGATTCTTTACAACCATGAAGAAACTAAAATTATACAACCACCAAGCTATACAGTCGTTTATAAGTCTGATGCACAGTGTCCTGCATCACCTGATCTAGAAAGCCATCATTGGGGCAAACAGACTCACAGCTTTGCCTTAGTGATTCAAGGGCATCTGTTGGAGTTCAAAAGATTTATGGGAAAAGCAGGCCATTAGCAAATGTTAAAAGTAAATTGAAAACAATTGGAAGACTGGTATTGCCCCAGCCCCCTATAGCATATACAACGATTCCTCCTAACCTTCCAGAGTGAGCTGTTCAAGTCTCATCAAGTATGCTGTAATGATAGCTGCACTGAAACAAAGACGAGAAATAGACAAATTCAACAATTCCCAAATACAACAGCGAAGCAACGGAAATGCTCAATCGCTTGGGGTTTACGTACCTCCTGGACACACCAGCAAAGCAGTGAACAAGAACGGAGCCTTCTTTCCTACTCCGATCAATGAAATCCAAGCACGGCTCCAAATAATCCAACAAATCCGCACTCTCCGTATCCCTAATCGGCACCGCCATCCTCACCAGCTTCAAGTCCTTCCCGGCGTACTCCAGCGAGTACATGAGCTTGCTGCTCCTGGAACCATCCTCCTCCTCCTCAGCCGCAGCCGGGCCGTCGCGCTGGCGATTGAAGTAGACCTTCTTGATCTCCTTGGCCGGGATCGAGACGCCGGAGCGCCACTCGGTGAAGAAAGAGATGGAGGCGGAGCTCAGGACGGAGAGCACGTGCGTGATGTCGGAGGTCCCGCTCTGGAGGACCTCCGCCGCATCGGTGATGTTGCCGATGAACAGATTCTCCCGGACGAGGTGCGGCATGTCAGAGAGAGAGGAGATCGCCGGTCGTCGTCGGCGGAATTGAGTGGGAGGTGTGCGCACGCAGAGAGAAATCAGGATTGAATTTCGTCTGCGTTCGGAATGATGGGCGAAAAAGCTTTACTATCGATATTAAATTATATTATTAAATTTATTATTAATTGCATTTACTACTGCAAAGTGCAACGGTGGCCTGAGCGTGTGTGAAGTGGAAACTTTAGAGCAAACTGAGAATAGAAGAAAGGCATCTTTCTTGCTGGCTAACTTATACGGGCGGATCACGGTCGGCATCTAGTTCGGTAAACTTGAACCAAAAACTATTATAACTCGCTGAACCGAGCTGATTGTATATGATTTGAGATTCGGACGCTTATCTTTAAATCCAAACTGATTTTAAACACCCTCATACTAGAGCCACAAGTCGTCAGTAGCTGATGATTTGAGATTCAGTCGCTTATCTTCAATCTAAACCGAATTTGAACACACTCGTACTAGAGCCACAAGTCAGCAGTAGCTGAAGCCCACTTCTAGCTTTGTCCTTCTTACTTCTGGCACTGTTGTGATAGGTTGTCACATTACACCGAACTTTGATCCATTTTCGATTAAGGGTAAACTGGGAAAAATATTTTGGTTGGAATGGCAACGAGGATGTGTTTGGGTTGGTTGTTTGGTTTGGTTTGTTCTGCCCAAACCGACTTAATGCCCACCCCTAGAACGATGAACAATAATTCTGTCCACATCGAAGCAAAACGAATCTTAAATTGATAGTTGGATCGAATCGGATTGGATCAATATAATCTGATATTTAAATTTCTATTTATTTTCTTCCTAAATGCAGAGAAAATAATGGAGCGAATATGAAATTGAACCAAACCGAACCAGAACAAATGAAGCATATACGCTTTTGGCCCAACTCTGATCCTCCATCTTCCTGTATTTTTTCGGTCCATTTTTTGTTGTGGTTCGTTTCAACTCTGAATCTGACATGATCATACTCATCCCTAATTCAGGGATTCTATCTCATAAGTCAACTTCTTTCCATTTCTATTTCATGAGAAATGGTGACGAGTCTAAAGATTAACAAAAGCCTTTGTATTAGCATATGAAAATAATGCAATGTTCTATTTCCTCTCTTCTTAAAGAAGCTGATGACTCGTATCCACCAACCATCCTTGTTTATGACTATTGTCTCACTGTTGTGGAGGATCTGGCGATCTCGTAAGTGGGTGGTTTTTGAAGGTAACAATACGGACGCTCGGCCTTGATGCGCCAGTTTAATTAGCAATATGCGGAGTGGGAAAATTTGCTGGTGGATCAGGTTCTCAGTTGTTCTGCCCCCTGGTACAACAGTGGAGTCCTAGTGGGGCTCCCTTTGCTGTTTGTATGTAGGATGAGGCAGTTAGGAGTGGGTTTCATTCGGCAGGCAGAATGGTTATTATGAACCAAGAACGTCAGATCCTTTTGGTTCGGGCCTCGGGGGGTACTGTTCCCTTTCATTGATGACCCTATGGTGATAGAATTACTTACGCTTCGTGAGGCTATCCTTTGATGTCTGGCCCATGGCTTCACAGAGATACGTTTTGAAGGTGATGCGAAAGTAGTCATTGAAAAGATCATTCGTGCAGATAGCGGCAATAATTGGATGGGCGCGATTCTTGAAGAAATTGTGATGTATTTTGCCAATCATAGTGGGTTTGGTGTGTGATTTGTAGGGCGGCGTAATAATAGGGTAGTCCACTTGGTGGCTCGAAAAGCCCTTTTTTGTATCCAACTATGTGTCGTGTGTTTGATTTTCAGACTTGACTGAACTCCATAATGTAATTACTTACCTTTTGAATCAATATATGATTATCTTTTGTAAGAAAAAAAATCATTTACAAATGGTATATATAAGCATTTTCATCTATAGAAAACCAATTTATTTTGTTTCCCGAGTTACCATCTATACCTTCATTTGTTTTTAAATGTTCCTACACGCCAAAGTGGTAAAAAAAACCAATACAACCAAACAATTTCCCAAAATCTCACATAAAACCCCTCAAATTCACACATAATTCCAAGACACTATTGAAACACAAATAAAATAGCGTTAATCAAACAGGGTATGTCTATGGTAACTTAAAAGTCAGTGTGACTTGAAAAAAAGGTCAATCGCTCTTTACAATTGGTAGATCGCTTCACACAATTAGTCGACCGCTTCAGACAACCAATTTACCTCTTCCGTAAAATTGATCGACCACTTCAAAAAACCAATCCATCGCTTCCAGCAAACGATCATCCATTTTCAAGCCAATTCATATAACATACAAGAGGGTGCATGGAAAAGACCTTGGCATGAATTCAAGTATATCCTTTTTTATAAGCCAAGTAGCTAGAAACCAAGTGGCCTAAGAGAGAGTTTAATTAAGCAAGTCGTTGACGATTATGATTTAGTAACCAACCGAGCTGTTGCTGCAAGTGGCGGGAAGGATTAGGTAATAATTTCATAACGTTAAAAATACAAGTTCAACTTGTACTATAAAAAAAACTAAAGCATCTTTGTAAAATTTCTCAACAAATTCACTCGAAGTTTTTACTTCTCAGAGAACAAATTAAATAGAAATGGCAGATTAACCACGCGGTGGGAATGAGTCCAAGAATAACATGGAATCTACTTTGCAAGAAAAGGCGCCAACATGAATTAATCAATATATTTTTTTGATGAACCAACGATGATTTGATTATTGGTAGCAGGTATTGCTGTTGAAAATTCAATTTTATTCAACCCAATTAGAACCACACTGGTCAATCAAAGAAACAATCAAAACCCCGATAATAAGTCTTTCTTTAATTAATCAAACCAACTTTATTTTTCCACATGAAGTCTTCGTCAAATTTCACTTAACCCAATATAAATATCCCTCTTTCGCTCTAATCCAGATTAACCAGTTAATTACAAAGGTTAAACCAAACAAAAAAATGAAGAAAACCACTCTGCTTCTCCAATGGCTACTCCTTCTTCTACCACTAACAGCTTCCCTCTCCCCGTCTCCCTCCAACGTCGTCGACGGCGACTGCTCCGACAAATGCGGCAACGTCACCGTCCCCTACCCTTTCGGAATCGGCGACCGGAAATGCGCAATCTCCGCCCCCTTCCTCCTCAATTGCAACTCCTCCGCCGTCCTGGTGTTCGGCAAGAACATCCCCGTCACCAACATATCCGTCGAGGAAGGCACCTTCTCCGCCGTTATCTCCGCCGTCGCCCGCTGCTACAACAGGACCGATCCGGCGAGGAACCGCACGACGATGGGGCGGTCAATCAAGCTCGGCGGCGGGCCCTTCCGGCTGTCCAACGTCTACAACAGGCTCACCGCCTTCGGCTGCAACACCCTGGCCTTCATGACCGACAAAGCCGGCACCTTCGGCACAGGCTGCGTCTCCTTGTGCGGCCGCGGCCGCGTTCCCGCCGCCGCCAATTCGAGCTCGGAGCTCTGCTCCGGGATCGGGTGCTGCCAGAGCGCGATTCCCCAGGGATTGAAGTTGAGGACTCTGAATTTCACTGTTTCCAGGGCGAGGAGCCGCGGCAGGAATAATTCGGCGTCGAATCCTTGCGATTACGCTTTCCTGACGGATGTCAGAAGCTTCGATTTCGGCGGGGTGAAGCTGTCGGAGCTCCCCGAACGGAATCCGAGGAGCTCGAGGGCAGCGATCGAGTGGGTGGTCGAGGAGAAGACATGTAAGAAGGCGAAGTCGAAGTCGAATTCGAGCTCGAGCTCGTACGCTTGCCGCGAGAATTCCAATTGCGTTTACTCGGAGAATGGGAATGGTTACAGGTGCTTGTGCAAGCCCGGGTTCACAGGAAACCCCTACCTTGGCTGCCAAGGTAAAAATTTGAACTTTACCGCGCGCGATAATTGGTCGTTGACCTCAAGGTTCGAACTTTTTTTTCGTTTCTTCGTCGTCCAATCGAAATACTGATTACGGGTGTGTTGATGTTTTTTATTTTTTATTGATCACAGACATCAATGAATGTGAGGAGGCAGAGAATTACCCATGCCATGGACGTTGCAAGAACACAAAGGGGAGCTACAATTGTAGTTGTCCATTTTGGATGCGTGGCGACGGCAAAGTTTCTTGCCAAGTATCCAGCGTTACGGCCATTGTTGCAGGTAAAAAGAAGTGCTTAAAAGTGAAAACAGTTCGTCTTCATACCTTCAACATATCAAAAGCTTACCCAAGTTTTTACTTTTTACTCTGTTTTTTTCCTTCGCCAGTAACTGGATGCATCATCTTGCTATTCACCATCATTCTTCTGACCTTCATCATCTACAAGCGAAGAAAGAGAGAGAAGAACTTCTTACTGAACGGGGGAATGCTACTAGAGCACCAAAGGGTGAGAATCTTCAAAGAATCCGAGCTCTCCAAGGCCACCAAAAACTACGACCCTGCCCACTTCCTCGGCGAAGGAGGGTTCGGCCATGTCTATAAAGGAATCCTGCCCGACAACACCCTCGTCGCGATCAAGAAACCCAAAGACTCAATCGACAAGGCACAATCCATCAACCAAGAATTCCAGCACGAAATCGCCATCGTCTCGCAAGTGAACCATGTCAACGTTGTGAAAGTGGTTGGGCTCTGCCTCGAGACCAAGCTCCCGCTATTGGTCTACGAGTTCATCCCCAACGGCACGCTCTTCGACCACATTCACAAACAGAGGTCGAAAGCGATGTCTACGTGGAAACACAGGCTGAGGATCGCGACGGAGATCGCTCAAGCGCTCGACTACCTGCACTCGCTGGCGAACCCTCCAATCATCCACGGGGACATCAAGTCGGCCAACATTCTTCTCGACGAGGGTTTCAGGGCCAAAGTCGCCGACTTTGGCGCCTCTGTTCTGATCCATCCCGACCAGACTACGGCCGTGCTTAACAAGATTCAAGGCACGCTGGGTTATCTCGACCCGGAGTATCTCGTGACGGGTGATCTCACTCCGATGAGCGATGTCTACAGCTTTGGAGTGGTCATGGTGGAGCTTCTGACAGGGGAGAAGCCTTATGGGAGCTCGAGCAGAACAGGGGAGAAGGTTAATTTGATTCAGTATTTTTTGAATTCGGTCGGGGATATGAATTTGGGGAGGATCGTGAATTTCGGGGCGATTCGAGATGGGGAGATGGAGGAGATTGAGGCGTTTGCCGAGGTGGCGCGGCGGTGCTTGAGTTTCAGCGGGATGAAGCGGCCGGCGATGAAGGAGGTGGCGGAGGAGCTTGAACGACTAAGGAAGTTGAATGAGAATTCTTCTTGGGGTTCTAATCGGAAGGGTGAGAATGGTGGAGAGGAGACGGAATATCTGTTGAGGAAGGATGGCGGTGAATCTTGTTCTTTATCGTTCAGTGGGTTCTCGGAAGTTTTGATAGGGACGACGGAGGAGCAGCCGACGGCGGAAACTCATAGCAACGTTTCAATGAATATGGAGTCGTATGAGTTTTGCCGATGATGATATCATGGACTCCATTTTGCCTTTGTTTTTGTCTATTTTGTTTCTCAAGTTCCAATTCTATTTTATTGAATAAAAAATATTTCAATAAATACACATCTGATTTGACCTACGAACAAATACGTAAAACTACTTTTCATCAAATGTTTGAAAAGTAGCAAAGGACAAATTGGTCCAAAAGGCATATTTAGTGACAAAATATTCTCTTGTTAATTCTTGTTTCATTTGCATTTCGGCTTTTTGTGACGAGTTGTCCCTTCTCTAGTCATTAGTCAATGCATATTTAATAAAAGAGTTCGGGAAGACTGCCTCGTTGGACGACAGATGGCGGATTGGTGTACATACCCCGGGTCATATCAGACCATTACGATACCGATTACACTCTAACCTGCAACATACAGATCGGTCTAATCTGCAATTTTTTGTTGCATTCCGCTCTATATTCCCGACATTACTAAGATTTGTTGACATGAACTAATATCGCTATAATTACGAATTATAATTTCATGTAAGAACACAGAAGCCACACAATAGTTTCCACCATACCAACCAAAATTTACCATTTCCTTGTGCTATGAATTTACACGCTTGGGGAATGAGTCCAAGCCAAATAGACTATGTTAAAGAACCGGACAACCATGGGAAAATAGCGCCAAAACCCTAATTTAATTATTGGAAGTAGGTATATTTCTGTTGAAAATTCAATTAATCCCAATTAGAACCTAGACTAATTACATTTTGGTCAACCAAAGAACTGATCAACCCCTCTAATGGTCTAATCTCATATAAATCCCTCCCTCTGTTTCCCCTAATCCAGATTTTCAGTTAATTACTTGCAACACAAAACAGAGGAAAATGGCAGAGACAACTCTGCCGCTCGTAACCGCTACTAATCTCTTCCTCCTTCTGCTAGTAACTTCCCTCTCGCCGTCTTCCCCCAACGTGATCGACGACGACTGCTCCGACCGATGCGGCAACGTCACGGTGCCGTACCCTTTCGGAATCGGCGACCAGAAGTGCGCAATCTCCCCTGCTTTCCTCTTCAACTGCAATTCCTCTGCCTCCCTGGTTTTCGGCAGGAACATCCCCGTCGCCAACATCTCCGTCGAGGAAGGCACCTTCACCGGCGTCATGCCGGCCGCCGCCCGATGCTACAACCAGTCAGGTTTGATGGCGGAGTACACCAAGCGGCCGACCATCACGCTCGGCGGCGGTCCCTTCCGATTCTCGGACGTCCACAACAAATTGACAGCTTTCGGCTGCGACACCATGGCCTTCATGAGCGACAGAGCGGGCAGCTTCGGCAGCGGCTGCGTGTCCTTATGCGACCGCGTCTCCGCCGCGAACTCGTCGCGGCGGATCGCGGACGCGAATTCGGAGGTCTGCTCCGGGATCGGGTGCTGCCAGAGCTCGATTCCACAAGGATTGAAGACGATGAACTTCACGGTGGCTAGCCCGGGGAACCATAGCAGGATCCTGGACTCGAATCCTTGCGATTTCGCTTTTTTGGCCGACGTGAGGGTTTTCGAATTCGGGGAGGTGGAGTTGGCGGAGTTTCCAGAGAGGAATCCGAGGAATTCGAGGACGGCGATCGAGTGGGTGGTGGAGGAGAAGACTTGCGAACAGGGGAGGTCGAATTCGAGCTCGTACGCTTGCCGCGAGAATTCGGATTGCGTTTACTCCGAGAATGGAGAAGGTTACAGGTGCTTGTGCAAGCCCGGGTACAGAGGAAACCCTTACCTTGGTTGCCGAGGTAAAGTTCGAAGCTTTCGTAGATGAATTCAAGATTTGGAAATCTCTACCATGGATTTAAACTGATTCCTCTCATCCTCTGTTGTACGTTGTTGTTTATTGATCAGACATTGATGAGTGTGCTGAGCCAGAGAAGTTCCCCTGCCATGGAAGTTGCAAGAACAGAGAGGGGGATTACAGTTGTAGCTGTCCAGTTGGAATGCGTGGTGATGGCAAAGTCGCTTGCCAAGGATTTCGTGTTACCGCCATTGCTGCAGGTAACCAAGAAAATCAAGTCAACCATAGCCCACCAATTGTTTCCTTTGACGAATTTTACCCTATTGAACTAGTCGATGCACCTTACCTAAATTAGATGACAAATCAGTTACTCTGTTTCTCATATCCGTTTTCCCCTGCCTGCAGTATCCGGAGGAATCATCTTGTTGTTCACAATCGTTCTTCTAGCTTTCATCCTCTACAACAGAAGAAAGAAGGAGAAGAACTTCTTACTCAATGGAGGAATGCTACTAAAGCACCAAAGGGTGAGAATCTTCAAGGAATCAGAGCTCTCCAAGGCCACCAAAAACTACGACGCCACCCATTTCCTCGGCGAAGGAGGATTCGGCCATGTCTACAAAGGAATCCTCCCTGACAACACCCTCGTCGCAATCAAGAAGCCCAAAGACTCCATCGACAAGGCTCAGACCATCAATCAAGAATTCCAGCACGAGATCGCCATCGTCTCGCAGGTCAATCACATTAACGTCGTCAAAGTAGTAGGACTCTGCCTCGAGACCAAGCTCCCGCTCTTGGTCTACGAGTTCATCCCCAATGGCACCCTCTTCGACCACATTCATAAACAGAGGTCCAAGGCGATGTCTACCTGGAAACATAGGTTGAGGATCGCGACGGAGATCGCTCAAGCGCTCGATTATTTGCATTCCTTGGCGAACCCACCGATCATCCACGGGGATATCAAGTCGACCAACATTCTCCTCGACGAGGATTTCAGGGCCAAAGTCTCCGACTTTGGCGCCTCTGTCCTGATTTCGCCCGACCAAACGGCCGCCATGTTTAATAAGATCCAAGGCACGTTGGGCTATCTCGATCCGGAGTATCTGGTGACAGGTAATCTCACTCCGATGAGTGACGTGTACAGCTTTGGAGTGGTCATGGTCGAGCTTCTGACAGGGGAGAAACCTTACTCTGGCACCTCGGTGAGAACAGGGGAGAAGATTAATCTGATTCAATATTTTTTGAATTCGATGACGGGGATGAACTTGGGGAAGATTGTAAAATTCGAGGTTGTTCACGAAGGGGAGATGGAGGAGATGGAGGCGTTTGCTGAGGTGGCGCGGCGGTGCTTGAGTTTCAGCGGGATGAAGCGGCCGGCGATGAAGGAGGTGGCGGAGGAGCTTGGACGGCTGAGGAAGTTGAACGAGAATTCTTCTTGGGGGTCTAATCGGAAGGGTGAAAATGGTGGGGAGGAGGAGACGGAGTATTTGTTGAGGAGGAGTGGCGGTGTTGAGTCTTGCTCTTTGTCGTTTAGTGGGTATTCGGAAGTTTGGACAGGGACGACGACGGCGGAGCAGCCGCCGACGGGAACTCATAGCATCGTCGCGTTAGATATGGAGTCGTACGAGATTTCTCGATGATGATGATAGCAGGCACCCACTTTAGAATTTTGTTATTGTTTTTTCTTTTCTAGTTCTCATTTTTTATTTGTAAAATAAAAAGGCAATAAAAACCAGCAAATTTTCTCCACGAACAATTTTAATCAGGATGAGATGTACCTTTGTTTCCTTGAAATATCCTTGTAAAAGATTTCAACGTATGGTTGTTTCCTTTGCTTTCCTCATGATATTGCCATGAAATATTCACAACCACAATGCCAATTTGGGCTTGTTTAGTCATGCATATCCCAATCGGAGGACCTCAATTTTCCCCTAATAGTACTTTCAACTCCAACCTTTTTATTTTCCACAATGAGAGTGACTACTATGGGTACTATTCTTCAATTCCATACCTTGCTCTGCCCCCACTCTTTGCTATGTTTCTCAGTTCCGATTTTCATAACTTCCATGTATTCGCGCGCACTCGTATGCACATGCGCGCGGCGGTTCAGGTATGGCTATACCCTTTCGATATCCAGATCAGGCTTTTCGCTATCGGACGGGTAAATCCTTCAAAATTTTGGATGCACATAGCTAGGAAGGTACATATTTTTGGTTTTGATGTGTTTGGACGTTCCCTGCCGTGTGACCTATATACTATATGATAACGACTGGCGTAATTCTGGAGTACTCCAATAATATGATCGTAAATAGAGGTGGCAATTAGGATCCAAATCCATGAATCCAATCCAATCCATCCACCAAATTATCCACCTAATCCAATCCATTTAAATCCAATCTATTTGATCCAAATCCAATTGGATTGGTGGATTCATGGATCCATCCATGAATCCAAATGACAAATTACAATTTGATACCTATATTTTTTATAATTTACATTTTGGTACCTAAAATTTATATTTTTATACAAAAAATATCATTGGAAAATTACATTTTGGTTCCTACAATTTTTCATTATGACATTTTAGTACCTAAACTTTTCAAAATTTACATTTTGGTCCAAGCCTTGGATGTTATTTGGATTCATGGATCAATCCACCAATCCATTGGATCCAATCCATTTGATCCATGGATCGACGAAAAGAATCCAATCCGCGAATCCACGAATTCGATCCAATTGCCACCTCTAAATCGTAAAGGAGGTTCCGTGGTCACCATCGATGTAAATAAAGCCAAAATGGCCGGGGTTCGTGGTCCTGGGTTGGTCGGTTGGAGAATGGAGGATAAGGAGCTTTGCTCATCATTGCTCAGCCATGTCCTTTTTCCCATTGTTGTGGAGCTGCGCGCAGCAGGGGGCGTCTTTACTTTCAAGTTCAAGTAGTACTAATTATGGCCGCGATTGTGACAACAGGGAAGGGAATCAGAGCAGGAGAGCAGTACTCTTTTTTTTGAATAAAGCTTTCATTCATTCAACCCGAAAGAGGAGAGTAGTACTCTTTGCTTGCTTTCACAGAGAGGGGAATGAAGCTTCGATGGTGGTGGAGAACAGCTTTCCGATCATGCACGAGAAGAGCCGGACAATTGGGTGAATTGGACGGTGCAGAGTGATTCGAGCTCTACAGCACGGAATGTAGAAGAAAGACGACAAATATTGAAGCACAGTAGAAAGTTACGTACTCTCTCCGGCGACAGGTTCATGTGACTTGGACTGACATGATGAACAGAATAATTTTTTTTTTTTGTTCTGATGTTGACCCGATATTCATCCTGGTTGTTAGTTCGTACTAGGGATGACAATGAGTTGATTTGGATTGGATTTTTCCAAATCTAATTTACCGAGTGCATCTGTACTTTTTATTTTATTTTATAAAAATTGAGTTTTGGAAGAAAAAATGTAACCAAATATAACGGGTATTGTCATGAATTTATTGTTGAACCTTGGGTGTGACAATATTTGTGTGTGCATGGGGTACTTATGGTCCACAAATATAACCGTGAATAATATATCTGAACACCCAAATTTTAATATTATAAAAAATGTATAATTATATTGCTATGAATGGCAATTAACATCAATAATTATCTGTATTATTATAATTATTATCGTGAATGACACTCATATATTATTCATATTATTAAGTTGCATACAGAATAGAGTTCATTTTTCTTTCCAACAACGATGGATAACTGATTTGATTTTGTATATGACTGACTATTTGGTCCGGGACTGTTTGGTTTTACTCGAAACCGGACCGTATAACTCGGACCGGGACTGGATTGGGACCGGATAGCAAACAATCCAATCTCATATTCAGGCTTAGATTTAATGTAAAAAACTGGATAAAGACCGGATAAGAGACCCCCAACACCTAAAATCAAGATCAAATTAGGACCGGACTGGGTCAAGACCGGATTGTATCCAATCCAATCTTTGGTCCTTATATTTCCGAAAAGACCAAACTGGGACCGGATCAATTTGGTCCAATTTAACCGGACCGGACCGTATAGCCACCCTAATTTTGTCTAAACCTGCATTCAATCAAAACCATGAATTCAGACTTTGACCGGTTTGAATTGGATTGGTTACGAGTTTAATTGTCTATCCCTGGTTCACTGGCTTGTTATCTTCTCTCCTCTGTTTTCCTTCTACAATTATACTCCAGAGTTTTCAGTGAATAGCTCACAGCAGAAGCGACAACAATGGAGAAGAACACTCTGCCGCTAATAACCGCTGCTAAGCTTCATCTCCTTCTTCTCCATCTTCTTCTTCTTCCTGCAGCAACTTCCCTCTCCTCCTCGGCACATCCCAACGCAATCAACGACGACTGCTCCGACAAGTGCGGCAACATCACCGTCCCGTACCCTTTCGGAATCGGCGACCCCAAATGCGCATTCTCCGACGCCTTCCTCCTCAATTGCAGTTCCTCTGCCGTTCCGCCTGGACTTTTCTTCGGCAACATCCCCGTCACCAACATCTCAGTCGACGAAGGCACCTTCTCCGGCCTGATTGACGGCGTCTACAGCTGCTACAACCAGACCGGACCGATGGCGGACTACTATTTCCATCAGTGCGTCACGCTCGGGGGCGGACCCTTCCGATTCTCCAACGTCCACAACAAGCTCACGGTCTTCGGCTGCGACACCGTCGCGTACATGAGCGACGCCCGGGGAGTCCGGTTCGGCAGCGGCTGCATCTCCCTCTGCGACGCGGCTTCCGCTGCCGACGACACCGCTTCCGACCCGTCGGCCTGCTCCGGAATCGGGTGCTGCCAGAGCTTGATTCCACCTGGAGTGAGGACGCTCAACTTCACGGTGGACAGCCCGACGAACCATAGCGACGTCTTGGAGTCGAATCCTTGCGATTTCGCGTTCCTGGCCGATGACAGGGTTTTCGATTTCGGCAGGGTGAAGCTGGCGGAGTTTCCCGACCGGAATCCGAGCAATGCGAGCACGGCGATCGAGTGGGTGGTGGAGGAGAAGACGTGCGAACAGGGGAGGTTGAATTCGAGCTCGTACGCTTGTCGCGAGAAATCGGATTGCGTTTACTCCGAGAATGGGAATGGTTACAGGTGCTTGTGCAAGGCTGGGTACAGGGGAAACCCCTACCTTGGCTGCCAAGGTAAAACTTGAACCTTACATTTGGTAGTTGACTTCAAGATTCGAACTTTTTTCGGTAGACTCAAATACTGATTCGATTGCGGTTTATGGGTCTGTTGTTGTTTGTTAAATCACAGACATCAATGAATGTGAGGAGCCAGAGAAGTACCCATGCCATGGACGTTGCAAGAACACAGAGGGGAACTACACTTGTAGTTGTCCAATTGGGAAGCACGGCGATGGCAAAGTTGCTTGCCAAGTATCTTGTGTTACCACCATTGTTGCAGGTAATAATGACAGATTTGCAAGAATTAATTCCTTTTCTAATGCCACACTAGTCCTTTTTTTTCATCCAACCCAAGTTCATCTTGATTAGTTACTCTGTTCTCACCCTGTTTTTACCTTTTCCCCCTCTGCAGTAACTGGAAGCATCATCTTGCTATTCACGACCGTTCTTCTGACCTTCATCATGTACAGACGAAGAAAGCGAGAGAAGAACTTCTTGCTGAACGGCGGCATGCTGTTAAAGCACCAAAGGGTGAGAATCTTCACAGAATTGGAGCTCTCCAAGGCCACCAACAACTACGACGCCACCCGCCTCCTTGGCCAAGGAGGATTCGGCCATGTCTACAAAGGAATCCTGCCCGACAACACCCTCGTCGCGATCAAGAAGCCCAAATACTCTCTCGGCAAGTCTCAAACCATCAACCAAGAATTCCAGCACGAGATCGCCATCGTCTCCCAAGTAAATCACATTAATGTTGTCAAGGTAGTAGGGCTCTGCCTCGAGACCAAGCTCCCGCTCTTGGTCTACGAGTTCATCCCCAACGGTACCCTCTCCGACCACATTCACAGGCAGAGATCCAATCTGATGTCTACATGGAAGAATCGGCTGAGAATCGCGACGGAGATGGCTCAAGCGCTCGATTACTTGCACTCGCTGGCGAACCCGCCAATCATCCACGGGGATATCAAGTCGACCAACATTCTCCTGGACGAGAGTTTCCGGGCGAAAGTCGCCGACTTTGGCGCCTCTGTTCTAATCTATCCCGACCAGGCAACCGCCATGGTTAGTAAGATCCAGGGGACGTTGGGCTATCTCGACCCGGAGTATCTGGTGACGGGTAATCTCACTCCGATGAGCGACGTCTACAGCTTTGGAGTGGTCATGGTCGAGCTTCTGACGGGGCGGAAGCCTTACTCTGTTTTCTCGCCGAGAACAGAGGAGAAGGGTAATTTGATTATGTGTTTTTTGAATTCAGTGGGGGGCATGAATTTGGGGGGGATCGTGAATCTTGAGGTGATTCGAGAAGGGGAGATGGAGGAGATTGAGGCGTTCGCTGAGGTGGCACGGCGGTGCCTGAATTCCAGCGGGATTGGACGACCGGCGATGAAGGAGGTGGCGGAGGAGCTTGGGCAGCTGATGAGGAAATTGAACGAACATGATGTGGGGTCTCATGATCGGACGGGTGATAATGATGAGGAAGGTAATGGTGGTGAATCTTTTTCGTCTATCATTGGGTGTACGGAATTTTGGACAGGGAGGACGGAGCGGCCGGCGGTGGAAACTCAGAGCATCGTTGCTGTGGATGTGGAGTAAAACGAGATCTTCCGGTGATGAAAGCATGCCGGGGCACAAGACAGAGCTATTGGGCTTGATACGTCAGGCCCTAAACTAATTGATAAAATGGGCTAAACAATGCAGCAGCCTACATTCTTCTTGATTCACGTGGCATAGGGCCCACTTATATTTCTTTTCTTGTAAACCGACCATCAGAAATTGAATTTGTGAAATGTCTACCAGAATGGCGTAAGTAAATTTAACATTTTCGCATATCTCACATTGTCACAAGTCTCAATAAAGTCATGTTAGAGTCACTAATATGGTAATCGAAGATTCCTCATATTTCATGTCAACTAGCAACAACAAAGAGATCATAACAAACCCTATTGAATTTGTGAATATAAATTTGAGAAAAACATTTAGAGTCAGTAATTTTTTTTTATCAAGAATGGTAAGATACGAGATTTTATAGTTTTTACGTATTCGAGTTTTGTATAGTAATCCAGAACATGAATCCGCAATCAAATGTACCTAATCAAGTATTCAAACATTGCTTTTCTTTTCAGCCAAATTCATGAATCTTGGGAAAGTGAATCAACACATGATAAATACCAACATTAATATTCCCTTATTTTACAATGTATCGTGCAAAGATCCCAAAAACCAGTAACCAATCATGGAATCTACACAGAATCTGGAACAAAAATAAATAATCAGCTAATTTCACATAACATACACGGCAAATTAATTAAGGAGCACCGTATAAGGAAAGGATTTTCTTATTTGTTTCTTGTAATAAACATTCTGTACTACTCAATTCAATGAAGGGCACAAATTGGGTAAAAAAATATCAAATTATGGCGGGTATAAAAGCGCGTGGAACTAACACACATCTATCGTCTTTCGTACCAAAACACGAGTGTGATCGTCGATAATTTTCAAGTGCCAGCTAAGTACTAAAAATGGTGACAACATTCAAACATTTGCACCTTCTTCATGTTCTTGCTTGCTGCATTCTTCTGTTGATGAACTCCAATTATCTGTTATCTTATGGCAGTGAAGATCATGGTGATAGAAAGGTGAGTGTCAACTAGTATTGTTTTTTTTTTACTTAATCCTTCTGTAATTTGTCATCTCTATTAAGGCTTCCAAAATGTAATATTGATGATTAATTCTTTATGATTTTCAGGTGTATATTGTTTACATGGGAGCATTGCCTAGGGGCATGTATTCTCCTTCATCTCACCATCATAGTTTGCTTCAAGAGGTTGTGGAGGATAGGTATGTATACCTTTTGTCAAATTGTTGTATGACTAATGTGGCTATGGTGACTCACTAGGCCTTCATTTTCCGATTCTGCTAGAGGTTCTCGTAAGGTTTCTCGCTAACCGAATCCCTCGAGCATAATCATAAAATGACGACCTAGTCATTTTCATAAAGAAGCAGCACGTGTAGTAGAATTTACACTTATCAAGGATTTAATCAACAAAAAGTTGGTCATCGATAATGAGTGTCAAAATTTTGGTTACATCCAGTTTTTTAACAGGTGGATTTGGAACTACTATGAATTATGTTGTTTGGATTTTGGTTGTGAATTTTGATGGCTGGATCTCGGAAATGTTCACAAATGATAACAAACTATTTCCGGGAATTTGTCAGATCCCACCATCTTGTTGCGATTTTTACAAATCTCATAATTAGTGAATTTTGGTGTCTAGGTTCGAATCTTACCAATATATGGAACCTACGGATTTGATCTCTAAAAAAGTAGACTACCATACGATCAGGACTTTTGTGATCGAGGATAAATATCGATCGACAACAAGTATTATATCAACATTTTGATTATATTACACAGAATAACACCATAAATACCCATGTGTTTTTGTTTTTACCAGTGAAGGATCAGAGCATATGATTAGGAGTTACAAGAGAAGCTTCAATGGATTTGCAGCCAGACTCACAGACAACGAGGCCACAAAGCTTTCCAGTATTGTGCCCTAGCTCTATAGTTTCCTCTCTTTACCCACCATCGATTTTGTCTTCTATAGTTTCTGGATCCGTCACAAATAGTTTCGTCACTAAAGTTCGAATCCATGAAACCGTTCTCTCGCAGGCAAAAGCGAGGTCGTTTCGGTTTTCCCCAGCACAAACCTAGAGCTCCAGACAACCAGATCGTGGGATTTCCTGGGCCTCCAACAACCCACCGGAATCACGGCCGGCAATTCCACCGCCGGCAGCGACATCATAGTCGGAATGATCGACTCCGGTGTCTGGCCGGAATTACCCAGTTTCAACGACCATGGCCTCGGTCCCGCGCCGGCAAAATGGAAGGGCGCTTGCAAAGGCGGCGCAAACTTCACCTGCAACAAGTATACAGATTTCATTCTCCAATTAATCAATCTCCCCCTCTGGCCTCTGAATCTTACATTTTCATATTTGTTTCTATTTCTCCAGGAAGCTGATCGGAGCTCGGTACTACTCCAGCTCGGCGGCTTCGGCCAGGGACGCCGACGGCCACGGGACCCACACGGCGTCGACGGCGGCGGGGAGCGTGGTTCCGAACGCGAGCTTCTACGGTCTGGCGAGCGGGGTCGCAAGAGGAGGACTTCCCTCAGCGAGGATCGCCGCCTACAGTGTGTGCGACCCTAGCGGCTGCTCGTCGGAACAGATCCTCGCCGCCTTCGACGACGCCATCGCCGACGGCGTCGACGTCATCTCCATTTCCATCGGCGCCAGTTCCGCGCAGGATATCGACACCGACGTCATCGCAATCGGGGGATTCCACGCGGCGAAGCAGGGCGTCCTGACCGTACACTCCGCCGGCAACAGCGGCCCCGATCCCGGCACCCTGGCCAGCGTGGCTCCCTGGCTGCTGTCCGTGGCGGCGAGCACCATCGATCGGAAGTTCCGCACCAGGGTCGTTTTGGGAAACGGGAAGAAACTCGTGGTATGGTTTCTTTCCCCCAATATTCACAAACATACTCTGTTTCTCTGATTTCTTGTTCTGATCGGAATAATAAAACAGGGGAACTCTGTAAATCCATTCCGTCTGGAGGGGAAAGATTTGCAATTGGTGTACGGCGGAACAGCGACAAGCTCTTGCGAAGAATCCGAGGCTAGGTGAATTTGAATTCAAAAGCAAATCTCCTTACAATTTTTTGCAATTTTTGCATCTATGAATTCTGAATTTGCTCTGTGTGGCGTGAAACAGAGCATGCAGCAGTGGCTGTCTAGAACAGAGTAAGGTGAAGGGGAAAATAGTGGTGTGCGATTACAAGTACGGGCAGGACGAGGCATTGAAGGTCGGCGCTAAGGCAGTAGTGTTTCCTGACATAATCCCCGATGTGGCTTTCCTCTCTGTTTTGCCGGCGGCCCCATTAGATCCGACGAGTTTCGATTCCCTCGTCTCCTACGCGCGCTCCGGTGGCAAACCGGTGGTGAAGATGCTGGTGGGAGAAACCGTGAGGGACTCTGGAGCGCCGGCGGTTGCTAGTTTCTCGTCCCGTGGTCCCAATACGATCATACCCGATATCTTGAAGGTATGTATCTTCTCCTTCTGCATCGAATTAATTTACTCTGTTTTTTGTTGCTTCGCAAGTAATTGGCATTAAGGGTTTTTTGTTTATGGAACAACAGCCGGACGTGAGTGCTCCGGGGGTTGACATTTTGGCCGGATGGTCGCCGGAAGCTTCACTTACCGATGGGGACAAGAGGCGAAATGGGTTCAATGTGATCTCAGGAACTTCCATGGCCTGCCCCCACGTCACCGGCGTTGCAGCTTACGTCAAATCCCGGCATCCCGATTGGTCCCCTTCCGCCGTCAAATCCGCCATCATCACCACCGGTTAGTATCGAACAAACAACTCAATCGAATAAACAATTAGAAGTTATGTCATTAACCATCCGGTCTAAATCGACTCAAAATTAAAATTGGGGAAAACTTAATAATAGATGTTGTACTACTTTTTTATACGAATTCGAAGTTGATTCAACTGTGAATATTAGAGATGGTGAATATTCGAATACAGAGTAGTCAAATTAATCATGTTACCGTATCATAATCAACCGATCACACTAACTCAAATTCTCAATTTTATACCATTCTCTAACATAGTTGCTTCTTACTCCTGTCATAGCAACGGCTATGCGTCCCAACAACGGTTCGAATGATCTTGCTTATGCGGCGGCCGAGTTCGCTTACGGGTCGGGACAAGTTGACCCAATAAAAGCCACGAATCCCGGGCTGGTGTACGAAGCGACGCCGGCCGATTACGTCAGAGTGCTCTGCAGCTTGGGCTACGATACCAAGAGGCTCCGGGCCGTGACCGGCGACAAGAGCACTTGTCCTGCTAAGTTAAACGGCAGCGCGACGACGTCGTTGAAGGATTTCAACTACCCGTCGATTGCAGCTGCGGTGGATACCAAGAAGCCGTTCAAGCTCGCGTTCACGAGAACCGTGACCAACGTCGGCGGAAAGTCGACGTACAGAGCCAGAGTCGTACAGGTGACGAAGAAGGGAAACGCGGCGACGGCGGCGGCGGCAATGAAGATTGGGGTGACGCCGGAAGTCCTGTCGTTTGGGGCTGCGGGCGAGAAGAAGTCTTTTAAGGTGAGCGTCGCCGGCGGAGGGATTGACGAGCAGGGGTTCGCGTCGGCGTCGTTAGTTTGGACGGACGGCGTCCACAGCGTCAGGAGCCCGATCGTTATCTACACCAGTATAGCAGCTTATTGAATTTCTAATTTTCCACCGTGGAATTTAGTTTCAAATTATTAATGATCCGTTGTTTTTCATTTGTCCGTTGTGCCATTGGTTTATATTTGTTTGATTTATGGGGGGGAAAATCAGTGTTTTTTTTTTCTTTGCTAATTGTGGGTTTGTGCCTGATGCATTAAGGATGGAATGTATTACAAACATTGCTACTATACTCCGAAATATCGATTAGGCCGATGATCAAAAACATTTCATCTCATGTCGGTTTGGTTACATTTATCGTCAACTCTAGAATCTAGATAAACCACTCATAAGGATCTCGAAGCGAGGACATTGTGCTGAACAATGCAAGCATTGTCAAGCTATGCATGGCTAAACAACCTTATATATATATAAACTGAATAAGTTTTTAGAACCAACCGCGAAGACATATTTTTATGTAATTATTCGTCCATCGTAAGCTATCAAGTGTAAAATCAAATAACCATAAAGAAAGGGTTTGAACTTTCAACCATCATTATGATTTTTGTTAAACTTTATGTTTGTACTATTCGTACTTAGAGTGACATGATATCAGTCCACGGGAGAGCCGAAACCCTCCAAATCAATCTTATTCCACACTCCTTACTGCTGATACGGTTACAACTCATATATATAGATAACGTTCCTACGTCAAACCCTAATGACAACAAAAATGACTAGGCATTTATGTACAACTACAAACAGGTACCTAAAGTTTAACAGGTTGCACCTTAAGTGCTTGTTTGTGACCTTTATAATAAGTTGCAACACCTTCCCGGGAAGTGGAATTTCGGGGCTTGTCTGCTAGAGAAGAAGTGCTTCTTGTTCTATCTTTTATCTGATAGCATTTACTGCTCATAGTAGTGATAACGTGATGGATACGAAGAAGCTAGAGTCCCTGATCATTTTGATGCAAACTAGCCCTAATAAATTTCTTCTGGTAGTGAACTTTCCTATTTCCTTTTCTCGTCATACCATTAATTGCACCATTGATCGAGGCTGAGCCTAACAATATAAATGATATGAGTCGTTATATATGAGAACCGAAACGGATCAGCAGCGGGACAAGTGAAACCACCAAACCAGTTATAGTAGCGACGGTTTTGTCGATTTGCTTGGACGGTTAGAGATGGATTGAACGATTTTTTGCGAGTTGAACCACCCGAGTTCGTCTGGTCCACTAGTTCACTATTTCAACCAACAAAAAACTAAGAAATATATTTTGAAGTAAATTAAGATCATCTAACGAATCTCTAATTTTATTTTTGCTTCCTTTTTTTCCCCGTGTCTCATCAGTCTATATGGTCCAATATGGATTATCACCTTATATACTAACTTGAATTTAATAAAAATCATTATGAATTGTTTTGTGTGATAGTTTGAGTGATCTGATAGAATTTTTGTTTATGGATGATACGAATTTGAAATTATTTATGGTTATTGATAAATTCATATCTAAATTAGTGTATTATATATGTCATTTATATACATATAATGCATGAACGGTTTTATCAAGGGTTCTATTATGATTAATAGCTGAACTATAAACCATTAACCTTTTCGGTTCAGTACCCGGTCCAATTATGAAAGGGGCTTGCTATTTGCCGCCAACTAAATTGCTATTTGCCGCCAACAAAAAAAAAGTATATATGTACATCTTTGGTTAAGGAGTTTCACAATCTACAACATATCCAACTTTCAGAAAACGTATTGAATCAAAAAAAATTGACGCTCGCCGGAAAATCATCGGGAAAGTCAATTTCTCGACGTAAACTGCGGACACGCATCCATGAATCATCACTAAGCAGGTGCGTCAATTTTTTGTAGTTTCGAACAATTTTTCCGACGATTTGCAACGAACAGACGGCGGGCCGAAATTTTCCGGTGGGCGGAACCACGATTTTGCGGCCGGTGCGCCGCCGAGCCAAAAAAATTGTGTGGCCGGTGCGACGCCCAGCCGAAATTCTCTTTCGGCCTGACGTCGCCCGGCCGCAAAAAATTTTCGGCCGGCCGCCGAACACGCCGTCGGAAAAAATTTGGTCGCCGTGTTCGGCGACCGGCCGAAAAAAAATTGCGGCCAGTGCGACGTTGGGCCGAAAGAGATTTTCGGCTGGGCGTCGCACCGGCCGCAAAATTTTTTCTGCCCGGCGGCGTTCCGACCGTAATTTTTTTTCGGCCCGCCGTGTTTTTCGCTGGAAAACTTGCCGGAAAAAGTAAACTTACTTGTTTTCCGACGATTGAGGGCGACGGGAGGTTGGCCGGCGACGGAGGAACGGTGCTGCCGACGAAGGCACTGGGCTCGTCGACATAAGTTTTTGTTGGAATGAGTCAAATGTTAATGGTATCCGAATTTATAGAATGAAAGGAAGGGAAAATTCAAAAATTGAATTAAAATTTTGAATTCTTTTTTTTAGTTGGCGGCAAATAGCAATTTGTTTGGCGACAAATAGCCGTTCACTTATGAAAACAAGTTACGACTATTCCCAAGTCAAAATCCTTGCTTTTCAAGGTCAACATTTGATCATATTCAGGTAGGAGCAAAGCTCGGAAAAGAACTTATCTCATGGTCGTCACTACTGATTATTTTGATGCAACCTAAACCTAATTGCTTCATCTAGTTGATTATTTTAGTTGCACCCCACCTTAACTGCTTGTTTGTGACCTTGTAAGTTGTAACAATCTTCCTGCAGGGAGGTTGAATCTCAGTGCTGGAGAAGGAGTACTGCTTCTTGTTCCATCTGATTGCATTTACTGCTCATAGTGATACCATGATGGATAGGAAGAAGATCGAGTCAATGATCATTTTGATGCAAACTATAGCCATAATAAATTCTTCTGGTAGCGAACTTAACTTTTTCCCCTTTTCCCTCATACCATTAATTGCTCCTTTAATCGAGGCTGAGCCTAACAATTAGATATGATGAGTTGTTATAAGAATCGAACCGCATCAACCAGTAGAATCGCCAAATCATGATCAGTTACAATAGCGATTCTGTCTATTTGTTCGGACGCTCAGAGATGGATTAAACAATATTTGCGGTTCGACATGAAACCAGATGAACCATCCCGGCTTGACTAGTTATCTGGTTTGCTATAGGAGGGGATGTTTTAAAGTTAATTAAGATCATCCAACATGAAATACTAATTTTATTTTTCCTTCTTTTTCTTCTCGTCCCATCGGCCTCTTTAAATATGGATTGCCACCTTAACTACTAACTTGAATTTTAAAAACAGAAATCATGATTTCTTTTGTGAAACGGTTTGAATGATCTGTTAGAATGTTTTGGTGATGGACTATATAGATTTGAAATTATTTATGGTTCGTGATAAATTCATATCTAAATTAGTGTGTTATGTATGTAATTAATGCTATATATATATATATATATATATATATAAAGCCCAAACCTTTATACATGAACAATTTTATCAACTATTCTATAACGATTAATAGCTGAACTATAAACTATTAACCTTTTCGTTTCGGTATCCGATCTGATTCTGAAAACAAGTTACCACGTATTCCCAAGTCAGAATGCTTGCTTTTGAATGTCATCAACATTTGATCATATACAGCTGGTTAGGAGCAAATCCCAAAAAAAGACCTTATCTCAAGCTGGTCACTATTGATCATTTTGATGCAAACTAAACCTAATTACTTCATATCTACAACTAGACTTGCCTTTTTGCGTGGAGACATTGCCTATGTTTGGCCCGGCTTTTAGAAGTGCTTTTCGGCTTCAAAAGCTGAAGCAGGGCCAAACACCTCTAAAAGCTCGGCTTTTGAAAAGCTGAAAAGTGCTTTTGTATAACATAAAAGCAGAAGCTCCGATTTGGAGCTTCTGCGAAAAGCTGTTCTGAAAATACAAGATTATCCTTACCATATTTTAATCTTATTTCAGAAAATATAATTTTATTTCATTTCAATCATTATAAAAATAAAATAAATTATAAAATCATATTATTTAATATAAAAGAAATCTAACAAGATCCATATTGACTACTTTTTATTGTTTATAATTTTTATTCATATTTTATATTTTAAATCCTTTATAGTCATTTTACATAACCTCTCATATTAAAAAGCACTTCTAATAGTTTTTCAGCCAAACACTCAACTGCTTTTTTTGAAAAGTACTTCTCTAAAAGCTTTTCCAGAAGCTGCTTCTGGAAAAGCTACAGCAGGGCCAAACTGAGCTATTAGCTTCTGAAAAAACTACACGTTCAAGTTTCTACAGGCGCTCCCACTCTATATATTCATAACCCCTCTCTTCTCTCTTTTCACCGCTCCCATCCTTTTCCCATCCTATCATTAGCAAAGATGGCTTCTTCTTCTTCTTCTTCTTCATCTCTCCTGCTCATCATCTCCGTTCTCGCGTGTCGTCTCTTGCTCGGATCCTCCTTCACTACTGCCGGCGGCATCGATGAACAAGCTCCTCCAGCCACCGCCGTCTACAAGGACCCGAGGCGGCCTATCGGAGCCCGAATCCGCGACCTGATGGGGAGGATGACCCTCGCCGAGAAGGTCGGGCAGATGACGCAGATCGACCGCGTCGTGGCTACTCACGATGTGATGAAGAAGTACTTCATCGGTAAGAATTATTATTTTTTTCTTCTTCATAATACATATATACTTATTATAGCTTCATCACTTTTTCTTGACGTGGGAAAATAAAAAATTTGTGATAATTAATTAATTAACCTGGCCGATTTTCTGCAGGGAGTGTGCTGAGTATAGACGACACCGTCCCCGGCATCCGCCGCAACGACCCGATGAAAGTGAACAACGCGTCGGCGGCGAGATGGGTGACGACGGTGAACAAGATCCAGGAGGCGGCTCTCTCGACCCGCCTCGGGATCCCGATGCTGTTCGGGGTCGACGCTGTCCATGGTCACAGCTACATGTACAGGTCGACCATCTTCCCCCACAACATCGGCCTTGGAGCTACGAGGTAATGATAATTCATTTAGGGTTAGAAAAATACAACAAGAAAAGTATGAAAAAACACGTGTTGTTGGTGTGTGGGGTGTTATTGGTTCTTTGATTTTAACCGAAACAAAAACTAATAAGATAGTTAAAAACTTAAAATGGTTTTTAAAACCAGAAACCAAAAACCATTAAACTCGCGCGGTTAGGTTTTGGTTTGAAACCAGAATTCAATATGACGGTCCTAAATCCTAATTGTCATGGATCGATATCCACAGTCCACTCCTCGACCTAGTCAATGAGCGAAATTCTCGAATTGATCATCGGATATGGGTACTACCTACTAATAAAATGGTGGAACGAGATCGAGGATATGTGTAAGTGTCCCCCACCCAATTTTCAAACTAATAAACATCTAACATGTAATGTTTATATACTACCTACCTACACCCAATTAGACAGGGATTAGGGGTTTTAATTTGTAAGTTCCTTAAGATTGAGTGGCAGATTAGGCTTATCAAGGTTAATTAGCTGCGCTTCATCAATCTAAGAGTTGAGGCAAATTGATGTAAGGTTTATCAATCCAGAAATGAACAAGTTAGGGTTTTGAAACGTGTTTATTCGAAGGTCAAATTTCGTCGAAAAAATTAACAAGAGTATCATTCTCACCGTTGACTTCCTCATTTGGTGGAATCATGATGACGACTATGTTTTTTTTTTTTCTTTTCCTCCATGGATGATGATTCTAGGGACGTGGATCTCATCAAGAGAATCGGCGCAGCAACGGCAGCTGAATGCACGGCCACCGGAGTGAGATACGTCTTCTCGCCGACCATAGCTGTAAATAACTCAACTCGATCTTTCTTAAACTACTTTTCCTAATATCACAATTCTAATCAATCAGTTTCAGTTTCTAATCATTGCTTCATAATTATTTTGTTTCTTTTGGGGGGGAAATTTTTTTTTGTAGGTTTGCCGAGACCCGCGATGGGGGAGATGCTACGAGAGCTTCAGCGAGGATCCGGAGCTTGTCAAGAACATGACGGCGATCATCTCAGGGTTGCAAGGTCAAGTCGTCCCTTCCAACTCCAGAAAGGGCGTTCCCTTCTTTGCCAATGACAAGTAAGTATTATTGTGCTAACTATCGATGATCATCACCTCTTTGTTTGAATTTGATATGAGATCGATGACGTTATTTATATATGTTTGTGTTGAGTATGTAGAACAAAGGTGGCTGCCTGTGCCAAACACTACGTGGGAGACGGCGGCACGAACAAGGGAATCAACGAGAACGACACCGTCCTTCCATGGAGCGAGCTGGTGAGGATCCACATGCTGCCCTACGTCGGTGCGATCGAGAAAGGCGTCGCGACGGTGATGGTCTCCTACTCGAGCGTGAACGGGACGAAGATGCACGCGAATCGCGATCTCATCACCGGCTACCTCAAAAACAAACTCAAGTTCAGGGTACGTACGTGTTTTTTTTTTTTTTTTTAACATCTTGGATGTCGACCATGTAATGTAAGGAAGTGGTAAAGCACCATACACGGACCTGTATAAAATCCAGCATAACCTTCTCCTAACAACTCGAGTTATTGGGATCAACTGGTTCATGACATGTAACGATGTTTTTGGTATGTTTCAGGGGTTCGTGATCTCGGATATGATGGGGATCGACAAGATTACCACGCCTATAGGGGACAACTACACCTACTCGATTGAGGCAGGGATCGGCGCCGGAATCGACATGGTACAGGCTATCTAGCAACTATATACGAACCTTTATTTATTTATTCAACATTTGAGTAAAGATGGTGAAAGTAGTGATTCATGTTGTTAAATATAATGTAGGTCATGGTTCCGTACAACACGACCAGCTTCGTCAACGGCCTCACTCGACTTGTGAACGAGGGATTCATCCCTATGTCAAGGGTCGACGACGCCGTCTCGAGAATCCTGCGAGTGAAATTCGCGATGGGGTTGTTCGAGGCTCCACTCGCAGATTCGACCTCGAGGAACAAAGTTGGCAACAATGTAAGTAACTAATCAAATCAAATCAAATCATAGGTTGGTAAATTAATCATGAATTAATTACATGTCGCGCAGGAGCATCGCCGGTTGGCGAGGGAGGCCGTGAGGAAGTCCCTCGTCCTGCTGAAGAACGGCCACGATTCATCCCCGGTGCTTCCACTACCCAAAAAAGCACCGTTGATTCTCGTCGCCGGCAGCCACGCCAACAATCTGGGCTTCCAGTGCGGCGGCTGGTCAATGAGATGGCAAGGCTTCAATGGAAGTAATGTAACATCGGGTAATGAATCATCCTTGTCTAATACTATATCATATTAATTAGAACGATTATAAAAAAAGATTGCTAATTTAATTAGGATTTGCTCCCCAAAAAAAAAAAAAAAAAATGGACACCAGGAACCACGATTCTCGAGGCGGTGAGGAGAACGGTGGATCCCACCACCCAAGTCGTGTTCAGCCAGCAACCGGACCAAGAGCTTGCGACACTCAACAACTTCTCCCACGCGATCGTGGTGGTCGGCGAGCCGCCTTACGCCGAGTCCAAAGGCCAGAGCTCGAACCTCACGCTACCCGCCGACGGGCTGGCCGCGATCGAGAGTGTGTGCGGGAGGAAGCGGCGGTCGAAGTGCGTCGTGGTGCTGGTCACCGGTCGGCCCGTGGCGATCGAACCGGAGCTGCTGGCCAGGATCGACGCCCTTGTGGCTGCGTGGCTGCCGGGGACCGAGGGCCGGGGTGTCACCGACGTCCTGTTCGGCGATCACGGCTTCACCGGGAAGCTGCCGCGGACCTGGTTCAGGTCCGTCGATCAGCTGCCGATGAACGTGGGAGACGAGGTGTACGACCCTCTCTTCCCTTTCGGATTCGGCCTCGCCACTTAGCCCACGACTACGGACTACCTAGCCTAGCTAGGACTAGGATGTTTGTTTAAATTTGTGTTCTAATATGTGACATGTGACATGTGATGTGTAACAACTGCTGCTCCACTATGTGTGTAACAACTTTCTGAATTAATCGTATTATCCATGTATTGCTTTCTTGTGGCTAGTTTTGGAAGCAAGATTTAAGGCAAACAGAGGAAACACATTTTTAGGGATTTTTTCTCCATGATCGAAAAGTTGGAAACAGAGGAAGAGAAGGATCGAAGGCAATCGATCTGATGAAAGTCACTTTAGTGGGCTGAAGAAAGAGTGGGCCGAAAAATAAAAGGAGTGAAAAGTTAAAAAAATAAATGGGCTTTGAAGCCAAGGCCCAGACGCAACTGAGGCAGACAGAACGTAAGCTGCTCTGCTCGTCTTCTTCCTTCCACTGAGATTCAGGAAGCAGAGCTGAAACTTTTAGAAACAGAGACGAGAAAGCAAGCAGAAAACAAAGAATAAAAAACGCAGCTAAAAACTAAACTCTTCTTTCCTATACAAATCAAGTTGACACGTTCATTACGAAATGTTAAACCTTAAATTACAAGGCAAATTTTCATTACATTTCGCAATCCACTTTCAATATATATACAAATCAATGTATAAACCAGAATCAAATTGCTAAACATTAAGATGGGAAATTGAACGAGTACTGAATATAAAAAGTATTAGCTGGCGACTTATTTTTTCTTCTTCTCTTTTTGTTGAAAGTATATTTAAGATGTCACTTTTAATTAGAAAATGAATATTGGGCTTAGGCCTAGGTTCAGATGGGATGCGGCTTGTGGGCTGGACTGGCCAATTGAGTGTGGATGGGGGGAGAGTATTGGGCTCAGCCTTCAGCCCAACATAATTCGTTTTATTGGTTCGGAATTTGGAGTCGGTCAACAGGACCCTGAGTTTTGAATTAAACATATTTCTCTTGGGAATTCCGAACCGAACAATATGTAATTCAGTTTCAGTTCGGTTCGGAGACTTGAACCCGGGCTGGATGCCCACCCTTACAACAAAGCACACTTTTTCCCCTTTTGGGTAGATTCTATGTTTGATTACTGGGTTTACTAAAAAGTGTCATGTTTAGTCACTAGAAATATTTAATTTCAATGTTGGTAATTCAAATTAATCAAACAGTCCATATTTGATTACTCTCAGTTAGTTTCCATCCAACTCCGTTACTCAGCCTGTTATGTGCTGATGTGACAAACAAAATGGCCTAATCAATGAATGTTTACCCTAAGAAATCAAAATACGACCCACCACGTCAGTGAGACCAACCCACCAACCTAATTTGATAAAAAAATAAACTAAACCCAAGCCTATTAATCTTCCTCGTCGAAACCTACCTCCTTCCCATCTCTTAGGGGTCGGATACTATGCTAACCCCTAAAGGGGTAGTGATTTTCGACACCCCCTTTATGATTGGCCAATTTTATTTCTAATCATTGGCAAGTATTAATTAAACTGGTTTATTATTTTTTTTAATCTTGTAATTTGGGGTCTCTCACCCACATTGGAAAATGAAAGAATATGGGGAATCAGAAAAAAGCTCCCCCCCAAATGTGCAATTAATTGCCTTTTTTTCTTCCTTTCGTCTCCTTCTCTCTCCATTTGGGCCCTCTTTCCATTTTGATTTCATTTTAACCAGAACCCTCCTCTACTCTGAAACGACCAAAACCCTCCAGCGCCTTCCCCCACCACCATCCTCCTATCTCCAGCTGCCGCCATCCTGGGATCGCCTCTGACCTACCAATGGAGTGGTACGTGTACCAGTGGAGTGGTACGTGTACCAGTGGAGTGGTATTTGTATCATTGAAGTGGTACTGCATTGTTGCTCCGTTATTGTTTATCATTGTTATGAAAAATATCATTGCACTGGTATTGTTCTCACTCTAACCTACCTTGTGGATTGCTCGCACCAGTGGAGTGGTACGTGTACCAGTGGAGTGGTACGTGTAATTAATGTACCAGTGAGAGAAATTAATTATGTAATTAATGGGGGTGATTTCGTTTTTCCCCAGATTCTTTCTCTTTTCCAATGTGGTGAGAGACCCCAAATTACAAGATTAAAAAAAATAAAAAACCAGTTTAATTAATACATGCCAATGATTGGAAATAAAATTGGCCAATCATAAATGGGGTGTCAAAAATCACTACCCCTTTAGGGGTAGTCAAGCTAACCGATCCCCATCTCTTAGTCTCCAAATCCGACCACCTTCTCTATGCGCATCGTCCATAATGCCCAGAAGAAGAAAAAAAACCCCACATTTCCAAATCCCCTTAATTCATCCCAAACCCAATCCGACGAGAATCTTGGTCACTTGATTTAATGATTTCACTCTTTCTTGATGGCGCTGAATGAACAACGATGAACGGTTTCAACAACCGCTAAGAAATAGCTGACTCAGTTAACGGAGTTGGATGGAGTTTAGTGTAGGATAACTAAACATGAACTATTTGACTAATTCGAGTTACCAAATATCGACTATTTGAATAATTCAAGTGATCAACATTAGAGTTAAATATTTCTATTGATTGAACATGATACTTTTTTCGTAAACTCAGTGACCAAACATGGGATTTTTTTTTTTTTATAAGGGTGATATAAGTTTCATTTTTATGATTAAAGTACTACTTAAAGGATTCGAACATAGAACTAATGGTATTATCACTAGGCCAAATCCTTGTTCGTTACCTCTTTTCCTTCTTATTCGAGAGAAATCATATATGAAATCAAAACATCAACAAAAAAAAAAAAAGATATATATATAGATAGATTTATTTGGTTTTGATATCTCTAGCTTGCAAGCTAATAAAAAATCAAGGGGCAAAGCTTGTAGCGAACGGAAGAATTGATGGAGTCAATGTTGAATGCATCCAGCAGGCCCGCGCCATTGACAGTCACATCCTCCTGAATGGCCAGCGCGCACTTGTCGGTCAATCTGCCGCAGCACTGCCTGTCGAACCACAGGGTCTGTCCAAGCAGGAACGGTACGTACATGCACGTGCACCTTTCGCCTAGGTTGTGGTAACACTGCTTCGTCGCCTCCTTGATCTTTGTCATCCGCTTTTCCTTGTCGAAGAACTTGTTGTAACAGCGCTGACTCGGGGACGACTTGTGATCACCAGCCATTGAAGGTTCGATCATGTCTTCAGTTGTAGCGGAGACGAAAGCCACCGCGAGGAGGAGCAGGATCGTGATCAATGGCGGCCTTCCAATTAGTCTCAGCATCTTGCTTGGGCTGTGAAGGTCTCCATTCGAAGAACAGGTCTATATATATAATATGCGTGAGAGAGGTGTGTGTATTGATAATTAATTAAGGTTTCCTTTGGAAACGAGGTTTGGTCATTAATTGAACCATAAAGGAAACTGCATGTGAAAGCTACAACATACATCCACCAAAAAAAACGCTCAAAGTGGATGTTGTTTCGTGCTGGTTTTTACTAAGAATGATGATGGCTTCAAAAGTGGGTGTTGGTCAATGTTTATGGACCAAATGATAAAGGTGATAGACGAGTTTTTTTTTTTTTTGAAGAATTAACTTTCTTATTTGACTTGGTGTGGAATTTCCCCACTTGTGTGGTAGGAGATTTTAACGTACGTTGTTCGTTCTGAGCTAGCTTAGTCAAGGGTTTTGGTAACTCATAAACCGACGAACAGTTTCATGTGCAAGGAAAATGGTAAATTGTAAGTGTTACTGGGTTTACTAAAAAATTTCATACTTGATCACAACAAATATTTAATCTCATTTGTAGTTATTAAAATCAGTTTAATATTACATTTTTGGTCACTGGCTGTCCAATTCCGTTAAGTTTGTTTGATGTGGAAGTCAATTCTCATCGTTGACGGTTTAATAAGTGACTTTTTTGTCCCGGGACACTCGGAAGTTTTGACGAACCATAAAGAAAAGGGTTTCAACTTTCAATTCCATCGTTACGATTCGTGTCAAAACTAGAAGTACGTGCTTCTCTGCTACAGAAGTAGTGCTTCTTGTTCAATCTTTTATCTGATAGCATTTACTGCTCATAGTGATAACGTGATGGACAGGAAGAAGCTAGAGTCTCTCATCATTTTGATGCAAACCAGCCCTAATTAATAAATTTCTTCTGGTAGTGAACTTTCCTTTATTTCCCTTTTCCCATCATACCATTGATTGCACCTTTGAATGAAATAACAATTTATTCCTGTGACTGAAAAAAACAGGGACCACAATCCTTGAGGCGGTGAGGAGGGCAGTCGATCCCGAGACCAAAGTGGTGTACGACAAGAACCCCGGCGCCGAGTTCATCAGCTCCAACAACTTCTCGTACGCGATCGTCGTCGTCGGGGAGCCAGCATACGAGGAGTGGAAGGGCGACAGCTCGAACCTGACGATGCCGGCTGACGGGTTGACGACAATCGAGAACGTCTGCGGCGGCGGCGGGGATCTGAAGTGCGTCGTGGTTCTCATCACCGGTCGGCCCGTCGTGATCGAACCGCACCTCCTGGCCAGAATGGACGCGCTGGTGGCTGCGTGGCTTCCCGGGACCTTTTAACTGTTAAATAAACAAAAAGAGAATCTATAAATTTTTGAAAGATAAAAAATACTAGTGTGGGCCCCGGTCAGTTGGCGTGAGAAAGGTGAGGTATGAAATTTGATAATGTAATGTGGTGTATAGCTTATTGTTGTATAGTTTTTTTTTTTTTTTTGGGAAACACGTTATAAAAATAGTGAATTTTAGCAGGAAAGAGACAATGAATGATGCAACGAATAAAAAATCGGCCTTATGAACCAAAATCAAGTATCTGTTACCTTGTGAAACTATATTGTTTCTGGTAATATGATGAGGTGGAGTAAGTTTTATAGAAACCGAATTCCAGAAAATCGAATAAAAAATCGCCTATCCCGTTGGTTTTCGGGAAATGAGCATCTCACAATCGTTGCTAGCTTTTACTCGGCCCGTTGGCCGATTAACCTGCTTTATAAAATTTCATCTTGTCGTCATTGTGCTTTCTGGTTTTTGTCAGGCCATGATAAAATCTAAGGGAATCAAGAACGAACAACACGATTTGGGATAGGAACCTTCGTTGTCGTATCCCTAGAAAATGGTGGTAAACACGGACTCACCTGCCAAA